ATAATCAAAAGCACTTTTGTGACAGCGTTCCTCTCAAACTTCTTGCAATGTTGACATTATGTCGTCACTTCCGGAGAGTCCGTGCCGCTTCCCATTGGCCCCGACCCAGTTGCGTTTTGAGGCTACATCCACAGGAATGTTCCCTTTCCGTCACTGCACAATGGACAATGTTATAGTGTACGTAATCAGATACTGGTTCAATATTACAACATGGACAATTTTCGGTGCATCTCCCTGTACTGTAACTAATAACATCGTAACACGCAATTTGAGACGTTTAGACCAAGGGGCTTATAACATCGTAGCATTGTAAGAATATATTCACACGTTTTCGGACGTCATACGTTTTCGGACGGCCATGTTTATCGCGATTACTCGCGCACGGGTTGTGTAGCATCACACAGACATTGTATATCCTCAGATGATGGCTTGTTTTTAAGGGAACGTTGTCTTTTAAAAGTGAACGAGATGTTTTACAGTTGTTGATGTGAATAGAGTGAAAACTACGAATTATATTTTTAAAGCGCCCGAAAACCCATAACACTGGTATATATATATATATATATATATGCTTGTCGTAAGAGGGAGGCGTCTAAATGGATCGGTTATTCAGGCTCGGTGACTTGGTTGACTGGTTAACTTCATGTCATCGCATCCCAATTGCGACAGATCGATGCTTTTGATGTCAATCAATGCGTAGTCTGATCCAATCTCGACCATTTACAGGCCGCCGTAGTATATAGCAGGAATATACTGCTGAGTGTGGCGTTTCACTAAACAAACGGAACCTTATATCCACTTGGGGCGGTCGGGTAGCCTAGTGGTTAAAGCGTTCGCTTGTCACGGCGAAGACCCGGGTTTGATTCCCGACATGGGTACATTGTGTGAAGACCATGTCTGGTGTCCTCCGCCGTGATATTGCTGGAATATTGCTAAAAGCGGCGAAGAAACCATACTTACACGATCACTCACTATAACCACTGACCCGTGAAGATCCGGGATAGAATAAGGTCTTCAGCAACCCATGCTTGCCGTAAAAGGCGACTATGCTTGATCGGGTGGTCAGACTCGCTGACTTTGCTGATGCATGACATTGTATCCCAATTGCGTAGATTGATGCTCATGATATCAATTACTGGATTGTCTGACTCGATTATTTACAGACCGCCGTCATATACCTGGAATATTGCTAAGTGTCGCGTTAAACAACAAACCAACAAACAAACAAACAGTACATACTTACACTACTCGTGGCTACTCATGCCCTCGGATCCCAAATAAAGATTTGTTGCATGCAGCCCTCCTTGTACGTACACAGAAGAACATCAGTCTTCATGGAGTCATATAGAACCTGAAGTATATATTCATTTACTTGAACATCATTCCGGAAACTTTCAAATGGTCTTGTGCAAATTGGATTGGGATTTCATATCACAATTTGCAAATAATACATGTGTAACATGCAATGACCGAATATGTCGTCTGCTATGCGTTTCGCATGGACCAGGTTTGACTTCGTATGTGATATCATATGATTGTATCACCGAAATATTACACAACGTTAGGTTAGGATTAACAAAAGTGTTCCTAGATTGATACTTACCACAGATACCCCTTAGATGATAATAAATAAAGAAACAAAACCCTTTCCATATCCAATAGAAATCTCTGCATAAAGAGTCGATTGTACGATTCCGACTATATCATAAGAATGTGTTTATGAATCGCTATCAAATAGTAATGACACCAGGTGTTCGCGAAAAGGTGAGCGTGCCCTGCCCCACCTGTGGCACCCGTCACAAACACATCCAAAGTCAAGTCAATTGTTCACCTGAAAAAACACGGGGACACATGGTACAAGTCAAAATAGGGAATTGCATCGGAAATCATGTTTGTCGCTGATGCGTCAAGTTTGGAAATGTCCTCCACATTTTTACAATAAAACATTTTGAAAGCTTTACTGAGGCCTTGAATGTTGTAACCTTGATCAAACAATTTCTGATCAGGAGGCGTATGCAATCTTTGAAATCTTGGTAGAAAGAGCATGCTCAATTGTATCTCATAAGTTGTGAAATTTAAACACCAAAGGCTGGAGCTGCTGGAATATTGCTCGACATGAAGGAAACTTGACTAATGGAAAGTTGAAGTCATCCCTCTTGTCATACAGTCTTGTGGAGAGTGTTTTGTTACTCTGAATCTTTGTGCATATAACTAAATATGAAACAGATGAGACTTTCTCACTGGTCTCCTTTATTTCTAGTTCAGGTGGATAAATCAGTGGAAGGGAATTGGCTGGTTGATGGTTATTGAACGATATCAGATCAGCGATATACCTGAAGCTTAAATAATAGTATCGTAATAATAATTGTAGCGCCAAATAAATGCGACGTCACGCCAGTTTTCTCACATAACGGATGTGGTTCACAGGGCACCGGCAGCTTTGAATGCTACTTAGAAAAACGGAACGCCAATGTTCTGTTTATGGAACACGCTTATAACATAAGTGTACTGCTTATTATTTTATATTCAGGCAGAGAACACATTTGTTCAGCAAGTTGTCCGTATATGTTCCATAGCACGCATAAATACCCAAGGTAAAATTAGCCAATAGAATGACAGGGTTCTGATGCATGTGAATGTCCCGTAATGCAGGCAAGTTATTTCCTTGTATTACCAATGAGCTGTATTTCAATAATGATTTTTTGTTTTATTTAGCCAGGCTACATGTGAGTTATTAAAACAAAGTATGCCCGGTTTATAAACTATTTATTATTCATCAAACTCAATATATCACCCTTCTTATGTACATTTTCTGTTCGACTTACCAAACTATCAGCCTCGAGATCTTTTCTTAAAAAATAGATATTCCGAAAACACAAATATATGGTTGAATTAAAATTTATCTATCAGTATTCATTAAATTATCTCTGCTAATGTGCATGGACGTCTCCCAGGAAAGAACACGTGGGTTCTACAACAGATCACAGACGTTCATCAATAGAACACGTGCAGCACGAATTTGAACATTCGTGTTCTGTGGCAGAACGTGTGGAGGCGTCCAATGTTCAGTATTAGAACACATGGATTTAGAGTGTTTGAAGAAATAACACCACGGTGTGATATAAAATATGTGTATACTGTGGCTTTATATATCTAATACATGTTGTCATCATCTGAAAGTCATTATCATATGGTAATTACAACAACCGACACACTGTGTGGTGTTCCGTTTGGCACAAACCCGACAAGGGTTAGATGTCATACAAACATCAGTGTCTTAACAACCACACATAACTTGGGGGAATAGATAAACTCGTTCTTTGGTAGGCATATCACCATTAACTAGTAGTTGATCCATGATAGCGCCTTCCTGGTGATTGTAATTGGTCATGTAGTTCTTGTCGAGAAGCCAAATGTCGATAGTATATAGTAGTATATTTGTGTGACACATCGTCTCATGTACAAACAAAACAGGTTATTGCAGTTTCCCAGATGGTGATAGAGCACTTGAAGATGGGCGTCTCAGTTTTATCCATGCAACTTGGTAGATCAGAAGCACGTCCATGGATTGGTTCATGCATATATTCCATATGAATCTGGTTCTAAAATGGCGGATTTGCATGACTGAACGAGGTCGTGTCGTTTCGATGACAATTTCTCTGCAACAGCTTGGTGGGGACATCACTAGAACGTGCACCGTGGGTTTAACGAACTGTGGGCAATCGGTTTTCGGTTCAGCGATGGAGATTATAATTGTGATGTTACGGCAATGTAAAGGCCAACAAAGATAGCTTACTGGTTGGACGACCACAAACACCAAGTGCGCATATCAGTATAATGAATTCTTATGGTATGGGCCAAAGTATTTTCTCGACATATAATCATATTCAGTAATGGTTCATGTCACTCATACACGATTGTCGCCTACGTTCTCTAACATCTGCCATTGGAACGACAGCTTCACTCGTCACGAAGTCTCGGGATCGATTCAGCAAGTATATTGGTACATGATTTGTCAAATGTATTTTGTTTCGGTAATTTTATCAAAGCCCAGGGCATTCATGTCTGGCGCCCAACTGAGATCAGTGTTTGGTCTTTTTTTTTTTTAATTGTAGGCCATAATTGCATGATGCTAATTACGATTTGTTTCAAACGACACACAGCTTTATCATATATCATAATTATAAGAATACATTGAGAACACGAAATTAATCTTAATAAAAGAAAATTATCTTGGGAGTTACACTGTCAAACTGTGTCACATGAAACGTATGTAAACACACAGGAAGTGCCATCATCTACATGTTCTCTAATGTGTGAAGCTTGGTGTGCGATCAAATGGAGCGAACAAGCAGAACGGTTACAAGCAGACGTGTGAAGATCCGGGGTAGAAGAGGTCTTCAGCAACCCATGCTTGCCCTAAAAGCCGACTATGCTTGTCGTAAGTGGCGACTGACGGGATCGGGTGGTCAGGCTCGCTGACTTGGTTGATGCATGTCATCGATCCCAATTGCGTGGATCGATGCTCATGGTGCCAATTACTGGAGTGTCTGGTCCAGACTCTATTATTTACAGACCACCGTCATATAGTTGGAATATTCCTGAGTGCAGCCTTAAACCACAAACAAACAAAGTTACAAGCAGCAAGACCAGTTGCTGGCCTTCCATAGCACTTCACTTGAACATTTATATCATGAGAAAGGATGGAGACTGTCAGAAAGCAAGACAACCAAGAAACGTTGCTTAAATTGAAATAACTGAAAATCAAAATCCTATTCGTGCCATATTATTAATGGTTTCTCATACTATAATAAATAATCGGTTTGCACCACCTCCATCCGGTTACAGGCCGCTGCAATATACCTGGAATACTGCTGACTGTGGTACTCATTCACACCAATAACCATGATGAACTAATTCATCTCTTTTCTGATATTCATGATAAACGTACCCTGGACAAGAGAGGGTCATATATGGGGAAAGACAACATGATGGAGGTAGACTGCATGAATGTCTTTATTATTATCAACACTATAGTGCATACCAGTGTTTACAACTGCAACAGGCAACCAAAAACCACTGGCTGCATTTAAAACAATAATGATATTGCACTTACAACACATATTAACAGACAGGTATGCATATGGCAAGTAGCAACTGAAAGATACTGGCCACCACACAACAGTACCAGATATACATGTGATACACACACTTGTGGATATGGATATACATGTAATATAGAGAGAGCTGTGGGTATTGATACATGTGTGATATATTGAGGTGTGTGTTTGGTAGAATGCAAATTCTTTACAGTTGAAATCCAATACATTTAGCAATTAAGAATATTCTTGTTTCCAAATAACTACACAGAAAACCATTAAACAATGCAATCAGAATACCACAGCACACATACTGCACTGTTTTGTCACTGAGATAACGTAATATTTAATTTAATCCGAAAGAACAATGAACTTCCTCGTAAATTAACACAAACAAAATATTGTAGTTTTATTGAGGCTGATTGAGGCTGTGCTTAACACAGTCACCTGGTTGTGAAAAATCAAAGTGTCTTGTTAATCTTGGACGTGTTTCGATCCTTGCCACCTCTGTTATATGTCATGGTGTAAACTCAACGTCACAATTCCATGATGAAAGCAGGGAAATGAACTTTAACCTTGGTAAAAATGTTTCTCTATTTTTCATTTGTCACATTAAGCTCAGGTGTCACTGCTTCCTGGGACAGCAACAGATTTTCATTTGTTCAATAAGCTGCACCAATATAGAAATAATGTCACAAATAATATTGTTATACAAGTTATTCAGGTGAGGTTTGGAAAAATAAATGTAGTCACAAAACACTAGATTTGTGGGGTGGGGTGTGGTGAGGTGGGGTGTCATGCTTCACTGTCTGGTGCCCTTCAGTCCAGATCTAAACATAATTAGTGCAGTGTAAGAGATCAAAACATTGTCTCTGTGTAATCAGTGACATTAACTGCTAGATTGATCTACATCATGAAGTTCAAGGACAAAATGGTGTGTGAGAGAACTGTGTGAAACTGAGACACTGTCAGTGGGAAAATCATTAACTACCTGGTTGACATATATCATATGTTTAAATTTGCAGACAAAGGGGGCTTAGAATGAATTGAGGCAATCTTGCAAGGATTGTCACTTGACCCTAGTTCTTCCTTAAGTATATTACTCACTGAATTGGCTGAGTTTTGAAGGACAATTTCAAATCAATAATGTAAATAAAAAACAAAACAATAAATCATCAAAAAACTAATAAAACCATTGTACTGCAAGAACTGAGTATCATTCAAGTAAGATCTTCTAGCCATAGCACAAGTCATTTTCACTGGCATCAACATTTGATGTGTTTTAGGTGATTAACCAATCAAACTATTCTACAAGAAGCATCCCAAACTAAGGTAGAAACACCTATTGTCTTCTTGCCTCCGATATGTCAGCTTGTTCAAAGCTCCACAAAGAAGTGTTGTTGTTCAATAAAAGTAAAATGGTAAAACTCAACAACATTAAGCTCTGCTAAAATGCATCCATCAGCCATACATGTACATAAATGTACAATAAAAATGGAAATATTAACCTTCACCAGGAATCTGGTCTAAATACATCCAAGTACTTATTTGAAGATATGAAATTATTTTGATTTAACAAAATAACAAAATCCTTGAAACAAGAGGTACAATCCATAACCACTTAGAAATGTAATTAATATTAATGTTCACCTATGTATGTTACAATACCTACATATGTAATCGATATTAGTGTTCATCTTTACAATACATACATATGCAATCGGTATTAGTGTTCACCTTTACAATACATACATATGCAATCGGTATTAGTGTTCACCTTTACAATACATACATATGCAAATGAGATTAGTGTTCACCTTTACAATACATACATATGTAATCGATATTAGTGTTCACCTTTGCAATGCATACATATGCAATCGATATTAGTGTTCACCTTTACAATACATACATATGCAATTGATATTAATGTTTACCGTTGCAATACATACATATGTAATTGATATTAGTGTTCACCTTTACAATACATACATATGCAATTGATATTAGTGTTCGCCTTTACAATACATACATATGTAATTGATATTAGTGTTCACCTTTACAATACATACATATGTAATTGATATTAGTGTTCACCTTTACAATACATACATAACTGATATTAGTGTTCACCTTTACAATAGATACATATGCAGTCAATATTAGTGTTCACCTTTACAATACATACATATGCATCTGATATTAGTGTTCACCTTTACAATACATACATATGCAATCGATATTAGTGTTCACCTTTGCAATGCATACATATGCAATCAATATTAGTGTTCACCTTTACAATGCATACATATGCAATCGATATTAGTGTTCACCTTTACAATACATACATATGCAATTGATATTAATGTTTACTGTTGCAATACATACATATGTAATTGATATTAGTGTTCACCTTTACAATACATACATATGCAATTGATATTAGTGTTCGCCTTTACAATACATACATATGTAATTGATATTAGTGTTCACCTTTACAATACATACATATGTAATTGATATTAGTGTTCACCTTTACAATACATACATAACTGATATTAGTGTTCACCTTTACAATAGATACATATGCAGTCAATATTAGTGTTCACCTTTACAATACATACATATGCATCTGATATTAGTGTTCACCTTTACAATACATACATATGCAATCGATATTAGTGTCCACCTTTGCAATACATACATATTCAGACAAGCCAGGAGATAACAAAACACCAATGCCATGGAATTTAACTATACTATGCTTTGGTAATAAAGAATTTATACAACAAAAGCAACAACATATCAACATCTGAAAATCATATATACAGAATGATAATTGATGTCATGGTGCATGTATTTAATCCAATAATTTGTTTCAGCTATTATAATAAATATATATCTTTTAACAATTGATGTTAATACATTATTCCATATTTCCAAACACTGGGAAAAAATGTTGTTTTAGTTCATAATCTTAAATTGGTTATCATGGTTACTAAATATTTGCTAAACATTTTCACAGCTAGGTGAAACATGGCAAGTGTGTGATACGTGAAACATAAATGAGTGATTCACATAATATGCTGAACTTGGTTCTAATGATATAATCTGCAAGATATCAGTCAAAACCGATATGTAACTTATCGACCCTGATTCATTAACATCATAAATGATTATTATCATGTCATATATAATAGAGGTGAAATGCTTCATTAATTCATTGCCATTCAGTTCTTGATTCAATCTACAATATCAATGTGATTCTACCAATTCATAATAAAATCAGACTGCAGTATACAGGATACCATCCGCCATTTTGGAAACAAAGGGGCCATTCTTTTCGGCTGCCACTATCACTTGACTCATAATTATTCAAGGAGGGTGGGGGGTGTATTTAATAAATTCCTTATTTGTACTGTTTTTCAGCTTTGTCCCTCTGTTGTGTGTAAATATTAAACAAATATGTCAGACAAGTATCTTGCAGTGTACCAAGAATCACAATCAAACCTCGCAGTAACAGCACTGTAGCATAATAAAATACAGACATCGTATACATTCATCAAAACGCAAACCTTGAAATTTGATTTATGAAATTGAATGCAAATATGTAATTAAACCTAACTAACCAGAGACTTGCAATGAAGTAGCAATGAAGTAGCACTCAAATTTACATGTATCCTTTACTAAAGTGTCCATGCAGAACGATCACATTGTTTATTGGACATTGTGCAACACTGGAATATTGTGAGCCGTATCACACTATGACAGCATCACACCACTACAATCATGCCCACTAAGATATTGTACAGAAAACATACAAATCTGTCAAATCATGAATGTTGAATAGACATACACCGTATCAAATTACGTGCCTACCAACACTCAGCCTGCACATACCACAACAAGCATCATATACACGCACAGTAATTTTGGCATGTGAAATATTTGGTTACATATATGTAGTGATAGTGAAAACCAATCAACATAAAGGCGCTGATTTCCATCCCTCTTCACCAGTGTTTTACTACATGTAATTTCACCCAACGGTTTGTTTACCATTGGCAGGCCACACTACACGTCACACACAGATATCATCAACACACCGCCATCAACACAACACACTCCAGCAACCATGTCTGAGTACAACTCTGGGGTATTGTTTGAGTTAGACAGTACAGCCAACTGTAACAGTTACAACACCTAATATAATAATTAGCCACATCTACACATTGTTGCAATATGTCAACAGTCTTTCTCACATGTTGAATACTTGAAGCATTTTTAATCTGGCAGGCTTGGTTATGTTATTTCTTGAAGCATAAATCATTCTTGTTTCCAAAGATTGCAAAGAAGCATAAGTACACTTATTCTAGTGTATACAAAAAAACATGCACCGATTCACTAAATTTGCATAAGACATTGTCACACATTGTCCTTCTATAGTTAAAGAAACTCTTTCAGCTGTATTTGCCTACATTTACATGGTTAAGCCGTTTCTTGATATTCAGATGAGGAAAAGCCTAAAGTGTAAATCATGACGTACTGACCTGATCTTAGAGTGAGTGAGTACGCTTTTAGCATTATTCCAGCAATATCACGGCGGGGAACACCAGAAATGGGCTTCACACATTGTACCCATGTCGGGAATCGAACCCGGGTTGTCGGCGTGACGAGCGAATGCTTTAACCACTAGGCTACCCGACCGCCCCCCTGATCTTAGAACCGCCATAACCCTCAGTGATTTTTTTCTGTTAACCCTTACAAAAAAGAAAGCTTACAGCAGCATGTGTACACTGAAAAAGTGCAAGATAATGAAAGCAAATCCAATCAAACATTTGCTCAATATGAAACAAAATCAACTCGCATGCTCCTGAAACAAGCTCACTGAAGTAATACTGACACAAGCATCCATGTCTTGCACCTCCTACTGCATGCACACAAAAAAAGAGAGTTACAGCCGGGACTGTAGATGGAGCTGTTCCAAGACAACATACATGTAATATATTGTGAACATGTAACTCACCTAAAAACCTCCATTGAACACTACGAGCTGTGTAAATGTTTGATTGGCATTTAGAAGTTCTAGAACACGACCAAAACATTTTCATGGATAAGAACTTATACTCCTTCATTGCCCTGCCCTGCTTACTTCGACAGGATAAACTTAATGCCAATATGTTCAAAGCAGGAGAATGTGTGTTGAAATAATATTTCAGGTAATAAAGTAATAAATGATGCAAACTGCTAAAATCTAGATGATTGCGTTTCTGGGTCTCTCGTGTCCATCCTGTCATCCCTATGTGAGTGAGTATGGTCTTACGCCGCTTTGAGCAATATCCCAGTAATATCCAGGTGGGGCTTCACACATTGTAACCAGTGGGGAATTGAACCTGGGCCATCGGCGTGAAGAGCGAACGCTTTAACCACAAGGCTATCCCACAACTTCATCAGACTGTCTTCACTAGGAAACGTCATTTTATTTGAAGTAAATGCAAGTGATATATGAGAGATGATCGGATTCATCAATAGGAGGGATATAGAAGAGATATAATTGCGTAATAGCCACTGGTGGGGCTACGACCGAGCCCAGAAACTTAAGCCTAGTTCGGAAAGGGTGGAAACAGGACTCTTACAGTCAGTTAACTCCCTTGCCTCGGGAAGAGGTTATGTGACCTATTTATCTAAAAATATTTTGGATATGGTACCTTGCAGGAATTAGCTTTATCAGTTTTTAATTAACACACAGCAACCTAGAAAACAACAATCAAGAACAATTAAGTGAGTTATTACTCAGACCTTGAAATTTGTAGAAATAAAGATGTCATTTAGATCTTTGATGAACACAGTGGAAGACAATGCATCAAGTGGGATCAAGATTTCAAGTATGTTCTATTAACGAAGTCATGCTAGGTGAGCTACAGATCCACAGTAACCATGGTAACAGACAACACATATGAAGTGATAATATACAGCCCATACACAAGACTTGCACATACTCCTTATCTGCCATCATCACAAGCTATTCATCGTCGTCATCATCATCATCATCATCATCATCATCATCATCACACATACACCCTCCATCACACACTGCAATGCCTGGTCACTATCAAACTCTGCATCAAATTGTATCCTTGCAGTCATACCAAGCTCCACCGCTGCAACCAGCTACAAAAATTTCGGAGAAAATGGTGAATAGCACACACATTCATAAAGAACAAAAGTCCTACATGATACAAGGCTAAGAAGAAAGATGAAGGTAGTGTTCCTGTAAATATTCTAGTCTATATTGTGGAGTCAGAAGCCCAAACATGAAGGGAAGTTCAGATACATGGAAATGAACAGTTTTTGTGAGTTCAGATCAACATAATAAATATATATATCCAGTACCTGCAGTCAAGAAGGGGGACACATTTGTCATGGGTCCATCTCAAGAAACTTTTATATCCTTCTGTCAAATTTAATTGACTAATGTCTTTTTGAAAACGTCAATAATGAAGGAGAATGATGGTTCTGTTTTGTAATTTGAAGCCATGAACAGTTCGTGACTGACAATAGGAAATAGTCTGAAGCTACAAAAGCCACAAGATCATACCAGTTTTGAGAACAAGCATGGAGTATGCGGGATAAAAATGCACACAGATGACCCACAAATGTAATATGGCAATTAGAGGAGAGCTAAGAGTAGCTGTGTTGTAATGTGAACCCACAAGCAAGGGTCTGGTGCTGACAGACCAAGGATCATAATCAGGGCAAATCTGGGATTCAAACCCACTATCAGCTGATCCTGGCATCTGCAGCACATGAACTGCATTGCATTGCCCACTGGCCCACCCCTGCTGCCAGTCACAGCATGCTGAAACGAAGCAACATGATTGAGATCATGTCAGAATCATGTTCTTGTCTGTTCATACCTAAAACAATAGGCCTACCTCATCAACCAACTGAACAAACAGGTACATAGGATTGTGCTATCTAATTACAATGGGGTGGGTTTATACACGTGACAATATTGCAATCAAAGTTTTAGAATATCCGACTTCGAAACTGTAAAGTAGCAAACATCATTAACTGAAAATCTATTCAAGTTCTCCATAATGTGCATTTTATCATCTTGCTTGGAAATTTGATGGCGCCTCTCTTCAAAGAAGCTATCTGGTATTTTAATGTCAGCAGTAGCTTACCAACTGGATGTCTAAAGCTAATCATGCTACTACACATAGTAATGATCAGGTCATTAGCTACTTCAAAAATAAAGATATTATCTTTGGTAAGAAACTTGGGAAAACTTTCACCAAAATAAAACTGTTAGGATAGAAAACCAACTTCTGTACGGTTCTCAAGAAGAGTGTGTGAACCACAGCAGTCAGCAGGTTAGGATACAAAAATAATGAATTCTTAAAATTTGAAATCTCTTTTGTTTTGTTTTGATTATGAAAAAATAATATTAACCACGTTGCATTTATGAGTCTAAAACCAATATGTCCTGTTCTAACATACCATGTAAAATTAAGTGGTGGGTTAAAACTGTCCATACGAACCTATGTGTTTCTTAAAATGGAAAAGGAATTTGAAAAGCAAACAAGAACTAACCAGCAAAACCTAAACATCATTCCTTTGAATTGATCAAAACAAGAAGTTGATCTACATTCCACCGGCCAACTATAAAATGATTGTCATTTTCTACTGCAACCTTCAGATTACTGCATTTCCAAAACACTGTGTCACTCTTTTTGTCTTATATTGCAAACTGACTTTCAAAGTTGTAGATTCGTTGCTGTTGAATTCTTCAATCTTAAATACAAAATACTAAAAATATGAGATTGTGGAGACATTACAGAATCCTGTTCTCTAGGGTGCTATACGTGCTTACATGTTTCACAAGCTTGTTAGACACCTTGAAATTCAATAGAGCAGATCAAAAACGCACAAAGTATTAAGCAAAACAAAAAAATAATAAAGATTCTTCAATTCTTAGCTTGTAATGTGTTAATGCCAATTTTCTAACAAGTTCCAATATTTCAAATGAGCATGTTAAAATCATCATGATCCATGGTTAATGTTCTAATCAGGCCATTTCAACAGGAAGTTTCATCTAAACAAAGTTTAAAAAGCAGGGCCAGATACCATTGGTCATATTCAACTAGTCCAACCCTTATTTCAGACTAGTGCTTTATGTGAAGTAACCTTATTTTGTGAGAAAACAACTAGATTTTTTTCTAGCCTCAGACTAAGTCTCTTGGCCATGTCTATCCCAGAAAAGTTGCTATGGAAACCTCTCCACATTATCTGGTTGACTAGATAATAAAGAGTGAAGCTGAAACACTAGGTGAATTGTTAGTGTGACTGAACACAACCAGACACATGGAACAGCTGGACGTAATTACCGTCAACAAACCAGTCAGGCATGGTAAATAAGTGTTTCAAAATTCTAAATGACACACATTTTCTGATTATATTGATAGAACACTTTTGTAACACAGACAGTAATATAGTCCAAGTGGTACTATAGGTGGGATAGCATGGTGATGAGAAAGACATATTGGTCTCCCATTTCGTCATCATTTGTCTCCCATATCATCACCACGTACACGTGCAAGGCTTCATAACAATTACCATATAACACATTATACCTATCACTGTCTATGACATTTCATGTTTTAACTTTATTTCCTCAGGGATCTGAAAGATTCTACTGATCATATACATTTGGATCTTTGGGTTCATTGGTCAGTGTGAAAGGGAGATAACTCTACACCACTGTATCTCTCCTGTGTTGCCCCACCTGATTCTGAGAGATCTTAACATCTCTGATGTACAGATTGGAAGACAATGCATACTAAATTGAATTACTTAAAACACCAAATAATCATTTTCCAATAAGGCTAAAAAAATTAATAGCCTTGGTTCTCAGACACCACCCGCTTCATCAGTCTGTAGCATGTTTTCTTTTTATTTCATTTTTCAAACAAAATCAAATAAAAAAAATCCTAATACTTAAAAAGCAATGCGATCTCGTGTTATCGCCATGGTGGCAATAGGAGTTTGCATGCTTGTTTATGTAGGGAGGCCCTTTCCCAGGTTGATTGTACACAAATGGTTTGGTTACATACGAGTTTGAACAAGCAACAAAAAAACCACCACCACCCGTCTGCACTATATTTTCTGAATTCATTGCCTGAGAACCAATTCTTTTATTTTTTAAACAACAAATTTGAGCAGACAGAAGGCGAGACTTGTACTTCTATGCTTCATATGATGAGAACACATTCATAAATGTAGAAACCCACCGACAACCAAACCAACTTTTTTCTTCATCACAAAATGCCAAACTCGATTAAAATTAGAATCCTTAACAGTCTTAAATAATATATGTATCCTTATGTCATGTCAGGAGTTTGATGATGATAAGGATTTGCATGTTATACAGAGACAGTTACCTACAGATCTATAGTAAAGGTCCTTACAAATCCAATAGTAAGTACATCAAATACAATGAAGACTATCTTACATTACTTAAATCCCTTTGGTGCCTTTAGAAGAAACATGAGTCACATATCATATAAGTAACAACACCTATAGTTGAAACACCAAGGTACAATTGACTGGATAGCAATATGTAGCACTTCTGCTGATGGTAGTGTACTATTACAATATCTATAGTGGGTCCAAGTCTAAACAAGCCATTGCACATAAATTGATGGAAAGACTTAAGGGAGGTAACTCCATCAACAACATCCACCACCCTCAGGATCGCCTTCAAGAAGATGCAGATTATCTTTCGGCCGAGAAAATCCAGGCTTCACCCCATCCCACCCTTCCTCCAGTTTAATATGGCCATCCTCCAATTGCTGATATATGTCCCGCGCAAGCAACGCAAAGGATTCTTCAATATTTTTGCCAGATTTTGCTGAGGTTTCCAAAAACTTGTGTCCATGAATTTCAGCAAAACGTCTCCCTTCCCGTGCTGTGACCTGGCGTTGTTCTTCCATGTCGGACTTGTGGCCCAGCACAAGGTAAACAGCCTTCTGTGGCTCTATGTGCATCTTAGATTCCTCATACCAGTCCTTTATGTTCTCAAACGTGCTACGTTTCGTTATATCATAGATGATCATCACGCCCACTGAATTGCGGTAGTAGGACCGTGTGATGGACCTGAAGAAACAAATGCATCCATTTTAAAAGAGAAACACATTTTGGAGCAAGTGAATGAGCATGGTTTAACCCATGGACATCAACAATGAGCTTCAAAACCAAATATAGCATTCATGTTTCGAATTAAAGAACGAATGCCAATTGACAGTCCAAGGTTTGATTGAGGTCTTTCAACGTCATCAACACCACTTATAACTAAAATTTTATTATGTATATTAGTCAAGCAATGAATTATTGCACTAATTACGCAGAGACAATGTATCAGTTTCACACATGCCTCTACACAACTCATGACTAGACTGCAAACACATCTTCAAACTGTAACATCTGTCATGTCTGTTCTTGTGTTACAATCAATCACATTACTTACCCTTGAATCTATTCTGTTTATCAACATTGATCAATGGATCTTCTATTAATAGTAATATCAGTCATGGATATCACTGTCAGTGTCTATAAGATTATACATGTATTTAGGCATGACACATGACAGGACTTCTCAAGTGTACCTAACTTATGTCCTATCAAGATCATGTGCACTAAACCATTGCCTAACCAGTGATATCATTTATCGCGTTCTAGTCCTGAACTACTACTAACACACGTGAAGGTCCGGGGTAGAACAGGTCTTCATGCTTGCTGTAAAAGGCGACTATGCTTGTCGTAAGAGGTGACTAACAAGATCAGGTGGTCAGGCTCGCTGACTTGGTTGATGCATGTTATGTATCCCAATTGCGTGGATCGAAGCTCATGATGTCAATGACTTGATTGTCTGGTCCAGACTCTATTATTTACAGACCGCTGTCATAGAGCTGGAATATTGCTGCGTGCAGCGTTAAACAACAAACAAACATACAGAACTGTTATCTGTCAACCTATTCAGGGAGTTCCTGGTTCTATTTATTATACACTTGCATAGATCCATAATAATTAATCTGACCTTGCATCTTCCCAATGCAAGTGAGTTAACTGACTATAAAAGTCCAGTTTCCACCCTTGCCGAACTAGGCTGGTATTATGGAGTTATGTTTTGGCTGGACTAACGAATCTATGCATAGTCCAATCACAATAGTGCAACGAAACCGAAATCTGGTTCGTAAACTGTCATGCAGATGTCGGTCGATTGCAGGATTTGCTAATCATTTGCACCTCGAAATCATTGTCAACAGATATTTTCCAAATATTTTCATGTTCTTAATCAAGGTGCTCAAGTGATTTGATGCATTTCGCGATGTAAGACCCATTTTATCACAATATAGATCATGACTATCAACCAGATCAGCTTGACTGGGCGCCGTCATTTTGTTTGAAGCAAATGCAAGTGATACGAGAGGTGGAATCTGATTGGTCCGTAGGAGAGGCATAGATGGGCAATAACTCGTAACAGCCACTGGTGGCGCTATGATCGAGCCCAGGAATTCCAGCCTAGTTCGGCAAAGGTGGAAACTGGACTTTTGAAGTCAGTTAACTCCCTTGCCTCTGGGAGATGATGACCTTGCTGACTGGCTTACTTATTGTGGCCTGTTTGTTTGCTGCTCAGATTCACAGAAATCATGCTGCAAACAGTATGTGCATTAACTAACTTGGTGTTGAAAATCTATACTCAACATATAACAGTGAAACCAATTATTACTTAAATATACGGACATTATAAAAACCAAGCTACTAGGGCTCAGATGAGTCCAAATTTACTACATGGATACCCAACCCGCAATTACCCAACCCAACCTGGGTACCCGCTACAGGTCTCAAGAGTTTGGTACAAAATGTCCAATTGGAAATAGTTGAGCGTAGCCCTGGTAAAATGTAATTAAATATATGTATAAAACGATCTTGTCATGCATACACTGAACATGCTGAAGTTGACCTAAGTGTTATTTTTATTTAAACCAATAAAGGTCAAAGCAATGGTGTTTAGTCAGAAAGAAATGCGAACATTAGTGACTTGTACTGTAACCATAGAGTTCTAGATATTTTTAATCATTAAACAATATATCACATGACTAACCACTGGTCTGGGTAGTCCTGTGGGTACCCGGGTCCTACTCAGTACACACCCGAAGCTACAAATACAATAAAACGACCAGTTATCTTTTTTAAAACTTGCTTTAAAAACTCTATGTGTACAAAATTTGAACTACACTGAACAGTATGACAGTTTTAATAGTATAGGGGGTGTAAAGAACACCATGCATACCCTAACCAACATTGGATAACCATTATCTTGGTGTATGACTATCAAAAATCAGTTTCAGTGAAAGTTTGGTACAACTAGAATGCTGTAAGTGTAGACAGGTTCGGCTATCTGACTCTATTTTTTACTAAATGCCATAAATTTACAATAAACTTAAAGAGAGTCTCTGCTCCACGGTCTTGTACCCATTGAAACATTGAAATTACTGTGAGGTGTAAAACTTGGGACATTGTCTCTGTGTACTAACTGTCTGACTCATCTACATCATTTAACTGAACTAGTGGACAAACAAAGGTGTTTGATGCTTTGAGCATGTTGAGGACAGTGAGGGTCCATTAGCACATTAAAACCCATTAAAACATGCTAAAAATACTTGAACTGAAGGAACTTGCTGACTGAGATATCAAGAGACTGACTGTCCAATCCCATTTTGAAAGACCAAACAAACGATCAGTTGCCATGATTATCAGGGCAAACTTGGGAGCAGTGCACTTTACTGGTGCACTTATTCAGATTTCAATTAGCGCTGCTTGGAGGACTGATCTCACACTGCTAGCTTGAAGCTAAGCAAGGCTAATGAGTATATCTAATTAGCCAACAACACTTTATAAAAGGAACATGGGCGCTACCAAAAAACCTAGTGTTCATCTACCAAGTGATCAGCACCTTATTGTTTACCTTTAAAATGTGCAGTAGTCATTTTCTTCGCGAAACTTGATAAAAAAAATATGGATTTTCTTCAAATTATTTTGGATTAAACTGTTATATAAGATAGAAAACCCATACCCTACCTCATATCTACCCGGTAACCATGCTAACCCTAAGGATCGTACATGTGTGTTTGGTTGGCAAGTGGTCCCCAGCCCTTAGAATCAGACCCGTGAAGATCCGGATCAAGATTAATTTCTAACACTGCCAGTTCACAACTACGCTGATGACCCGTGAAGATCCGGGGTAGAATAGGTCTTCAGCAACCCATGCTTGTCGTAAAAGGCGACTAACGGGATCTGGTGGTCAGGCTCGCTGACTTGGTTGATGCTTGTCATCAATTGTGTGGATCGATGTTCATGATGTAAATCACTGGATTGTCTGGTCCAGACGATTATTTACAGACTGCTGTCATACAGCTGGAATATTGCTGAGTGCGTCATAAAACAACAAACCAAACCCTTAGAATCATAAATGGGTGTCTGACCAGAAGAGGATACCTTGCCCTAATGATCGTAAATGGGGTGCTTGATCTGAAAGGGGATCCAAGGGCTAAGGATAAGAGTTGGAGGTAACCTACCCTAACCCTACTAATCCTAAGGATCAAAGAGGCGTGAGATATGTGAAGCGAGAGCCACAGTTGGCCGCCTGAGCCAATTAATGCTATGTAAGCTGTGCCTGGTAGTAAACTGCATTGTTGCCCTGTATAGTAGAACTTACACTAACATCTAGTCTCTGAAATGAATATATTTTACAGAAAAAAAACAGTTGTTAAATTATAGTTATGAAATGGAATAAAAAGGAGCCCAGAGACTTTCTTCATTACCTGATACTGCAGTAATCTAGACTTGCCAAACGTTATTAAATTGCATGGGGGGTATTGGATATATGTCTCTGCGTCTGTATGACACACTATAGTAGTAAACCTGAGAGACGTTTTGCAGTGTAATTTACTAGCTACACTTTCAATTTTTAAACCCTCTACTGTACAAAGCATACAATGGATTATTCACAGCCTTTTCTTCATATAATCAGTAGTGTTTTGCAGGGTTTTTGTTACCACTGTCTCAGTGGGAACTTGGTAGGAAATTGGCAGCGGTAGAAACTAACATGTTTTGCCCACTAGTCCTCATAATGACAACATATAGCAAAACCCTTAAACATGGCAAATGTCTAGTTCTAAAGATACCTTAACTATTGGGCAGTTTGGCAAGGACTACAGAACCAGTGCCAATTTCTAATGCAGCCCACGCTGCATAGGTACTAAGACACATTCACTGTCCATTCTCAAATATTAAGCAATTTCTGTGTAATAATTATGTTTCAGCTCATATTTGACAGTGGCAGTTCACATACATCAAAGGCAACACTCTTTTATAGATAAAGATATCAAATAATCCCACGTTCAAATTCGATACCGGTGCCAACAATTATCTACCTCCTTGTTCATGAGAGATGCTTGATGCAACATCACGCCACTGTATTATCAATGAAGAAGCCATATTGAATAAATTATTTTGGTTCCACATGGAAGCTAATCTTTATAAAAGACAATTCACCTAAATCGTTCTTGACCCGCTGTGTCCCACAGTTGGAGTTTCACCCGAATTCCAGGTTTCACCTCGATAAGACGAGCATAGAAGTCTACCCCAACCGTGGGATCGCACTGCTCTTCAAACTTTCCGTCCGTGAAATACCTCAGGATAGACGACTTGCCTACAGTGCTGTCTCCGATCAAAATCAGTCTGAACTGATATTGGAAGATTGGTTCAACCATTATATATGAGATAATTTGTAACCACTGTCACTTTAGTTCATTACGGGTATGAAAAACGTCACACGAATCTGAAAGGGGTTTCCCAACCTTTGAGATTCACCAACTTCCTGTCTAGTTTGTTTGATCACGTGGGTGGAATAAGTGCCAGAACTGTAAGCGGTTCACCGATTGGATTGTCTTGTACCTCCCTTGAATATCTTGTCCAATGAACCAACGTTTAAGGAAATGGGAAAACAATAATTGCACGTGACTGGACGGAGAGGGCACTTGTAAACACGTTTTTAGTGACTTAGCTTTATCTCAAATATGTCATAACAGTCTGTGGGAAGAAAGGAGGTCAGTAATTAAGCTTTGAAATGTCGTTTTACGGCGTTTATTTTAAAAATCCAAGTTACGCGGAAGCTGTAATATAAGTTGCAACAAGAACTGATCAAGTGCTGGCACCAACAGCTAGTATCGGATTTGACAGCTCACGCATGACATTTAACAGCTGAATTGGCGATGCCTATATTGGTTTATCCTACACTAGTTTATACCGTATTGGAAATCGATTGACAAAGATTATTATCAATATTGAAAGCCTGGAAATTGATATCATGTAATTGTCGTATTCAAACTAGATATATTTATCCGTTGATTTAGGAACAACGCTTTAAACATGGCTTAAAGGGGCACTGATCTAAAGCAATTCCCCGGGACTGGTTGTTGCCTTTGTTATTGTTTTTTTCCCGTGAGTACCCGGATGATACCCAACGCAACTGAGCGTGACAAGAGACTGGTCTACCGTCTGCAAGGACAGCTAAATGAATTTAGAGGCAATATTTATTTTACTCATTTTTGAACACTGATTGGTTAACCGTGATCTATATAGATTTCGACAAAGGGTGCAATTTAATTAATTTCTTTAGCCTAAGCAAACACTAAAAGAACGGCGGAGCTCGTCGGATGTTGTTATTTGGAAATACCCCTGATTGTTATAGTTTAATAATTAAAAAAAGTATCCACGCAGTGAAAGCATTTTCAGATTTCGGATTGCGTCGACAATACGATTACTACTCCCTTGTTGTCATCCACGTTGTCTGGTATAACCCTACACTTGTGTATTTGTCGTCATTCACTTGATGCTCACATAATGATTTTATTACAGGTATAATTAGTGGTAGCACCACTCAGAATACCTGACAAAGGTTCCCATTTGGCATTTATTGTGTCTGGGGTAATTATTCAATCAGAATCCAGGTTTAAAGTGAGGTAAAATGTGTGTTATGTAATATGCACGTGGCAGCCCAGCAAGAGATGAATGATCAGTTGATTTACTTTTTTGTAAATCAACAGATCGTTCCTAGTCATCAAGGGATTAACAGAAATTACATTGATTGATTAATCACTGTTATCTTGCACAGTGGATATGTCAAAAGTGAGTGTTCACATGTCTAGGTTTACTAAAACAAAGGGAATATGCTCATATCATGGCGTGAAGTGCCGATGTAAAAACAACATACTTTGTTCAAAGGGTTAACCGATAATACGTTGATTGATTGCTCATTGTTATCTAACTCAATGGAGTTTTTTAGGAACCGTGGATGTATGAAAATAGTTGTCATGTGGGCTTTCTCAGCCGACCTTTGAGACTTGACACCTATGTGAAACACCCGAAACAATCTAAGCATTCAGTTGAGAAACGAACATGGGTTATAATATTCCGAAACGATATATATATTTTATAATAGTTGATTGTTACAGAGACACGTGACATCGAATATGTTTATTTGTACAGCTGCAGATGTGTGGGATATTGTTCCTTTGTGTGGATATTTACGGATACATTCCTCAAACAAGGAAGCTGCTTAAAATTATACACATAAATTTGGTAGGTTGTTATTATGATATTGCATTTTGTTTTCCTTCATTTGCTGTAGCATTGGACAGATTCATTCTTCTTCCTCTACGTTGTTTTCACAAGTCTTTTCCTTTGTAAGCGTGTATATTACTGTCAATTTGTAAAATGTGATTCTCTTAGGTAATTTATAAAATGTGTAAATATTTCCGTCATTTTGACTGCAAAATCTGTCCATTTCTTTAACAGGTGGACTAAAATTGATTAAGACGATGAAAAGGGTCTAAAACTATCATAATAGATTTTTATGTAGGATAAGAAGCCAAACAATATAGAAATGTACTTTTCATCGTAACATTTTCAGTCTTGGTGATGATATTAAACATAAACATGTTTTGAATTCGTTGTCATAATAATACAGATGGACATATTTTTTTCAGTCAATTTGTAAAATAACTGACTATTCAGGCGTATAATAAATTTTCTAAGTGAAAATTTTGCACATTTTGACTGTTAAAATATAAACACGATAAAATAAGCAATGCTCAGGAGAAATATTTACTTTGTGTTTCAAGTCAAAATAGTGTAAACGAAAATCGCACAATTACCAAGCAAGTGACTTATCAAAACTTCGTCACCATTACCGATGCTACTCACAAAGATACCAACATTTCCTTATTATTTCAAAAACTGTATTTCATTTTGTTGATCATTGTGACCATACGTCCTTATACTATCAATAAAAGTGACAAATGCGCTTACGAATTGCGCAGCACAGGTCGCGAACTAGTCTAGGTTTCTGCTAGATCATCCGGGTACTCACGGGAAAAAACAATAACAAAGGCAACAACCAGTCCCGGGGAATTGCTATAGATCAGTGCCCCTTTAAATTACTTCGTATTTATGAGAAGGCCACAGGCATATGGCACTGTAGAGCGCGGTACATAGTACCACAAGGCAAGAAACAACGTTTACTAGTGTATTCTCTCTTGTAAATATACAGTGTAGATATGGACGAGGAGAGGCGTGAGCTGGTGTCCAGTGTTGAGGGCACTGAGGAATACCAGTACCACCAGTTGCCTGGCACTCACACACCAGACATGTCCATCAACCTGGACGAGCGCATGACTGTCAAACAGAGGTGTCGGGACCTACTCACAAAGCTCTGTTCCAGGTAGGTGTGACTGAGTGAGTGTGTGTATGGTTATACCATTAAATATTCCAGCCATATCACAACGGAGGACACAAAGAATAGATGGTACACATTGGACAAGGGTCTTGTGTTATTGGTAAAAATTAGTTGAAAACTATTCAAGTGCAAAGTGACTAGTAGAGGTGACTAGTACGATGATAAGTGTCAGTAACACGTACCAGTGATGTGGACAAGAGTACCCCTTTTAAATGCTTATCTAATGGTGAAAAGTAGTATTCCATCAGTAAGATAGTATCTTTTTTGGTACTTACGATCACTGATGACAAAAACTTCCTGACATGTTAGATTTATTTGGACACTGATTTTGCAGACATGTGTTGAAGCTGATCGCCCTGGGTCAGCTGCTGTCTCTGTTGATCTGTGGGACAGGTGTGACCAGTGGACTTCTCCAGGAGCAGGGGGTACAGACACCAACAGGTGGGAACCAGGACAGCCACATTTACGTCCAGATTGATGTAGCACTGACTGAATACCCAAATGTCTCAATTTTACACAGGTCACTGATTACAATTCTAAACCTGCAATACTAATTAGCACCAGTGCATTTTGTCCTTAATGGCTTCTTTAGTGTGAATTTGAACCCAAAAAGTGTTGGTGATGTGACTGAAATAGTGAAGAAAAATAGCTTTATGTTTAACTTTGCAGGTGACATCCAAATGTACCAATATGTTAAGTGATGTCATTTCTGTCCAATAGATAATGAACCAGTATTTGGTTGTGTTCCAAAACATGTTTAAAAACTTTATCAACATAGGGGTTTGACAAGTGAAAATAATATTAATTTGTTTACCACTGTGATATTTCTGCAATATTGCCACAATGGTCCAAAATATGTTTTATCCCATTAGTCAAGTATGTCTTCTATCCATCTGTCTGTTTCATTCAACATGTTTGACATAATTAGAAAGCTAATGCAGGAACATCTGGTTTTTTTATCTGTGAAAAGTGATGTCTGCACATTTGTTTTCTGCTACAAAACCCTGTCCATTTGTCTGTCTTCAGCTCAGTCGTTCCTCAACTATGTGCTGCTGTGTTTGGTGTTCACGGTCGTCCTTGCTTGTCGACAGGAGGAGCGCAATCTGGTGTTCCTGCTCAAGTCCTACTGGTGGAAGTACCTCATCCTAGCCATCATTGACGTGGAGGCCAACTATCTGGTGGTAAAGGCCTTCAAGTTCACCACTGTAACCAGTGTGCAGGTCGGTCAATGTGCAGGTCACACATCTATCCCCACTGTAACCAGTGTGCAGATCACACATGTATCCCAACTGTAACCAGAATGCAGATCACACATGTATCCCCACTGTAACCAGAGTGCAGGTCACACATCTATCCCAACTGTAACCAGAGTGCAGATCACACATGTATCCCCACTGTAACCAGAGTGCAGGTCACACATCTATCCCCACTGTAACCAGTGTGCTGGTCAATAATGTATGACCACTGTAATCAGAGTGCCGGTCAAACATGTATGACCACTGTAACCAGAGTGCTGGTCAAACATGTATCCCAACTGTAACCAATGTGCTGATCAAACATGCATTCCCACTGTAACCAGTGTGCTTGTCAAACATATATCCCCACTGTTACCAGTGTGCTGGTCAAACATGTATGACCACTGTAACCAGAGTGCTGGTCAAACATGTATGACCTCTGTAACCAGAGTGCTGGTCAAACATGTATCCCCACTGTAACCAGTGTGCCAGATAAACATATATCCCCACTGTAACCAGTGTGCTGGTCAAACATGTATGACCACTGTAACCAGTGTGCTGGTCAAACATGTATGACCACGGTAACCAATGTGCTGGTCAAACATGTATCCCCACGGTAACCAATGTGCTGGTCAAACATGCATAACCACAGTAACCATAGCGATCAGTATGTTTAGGAGCAGAACTCCTAAACCGATGAATTTTTCTTGATGAAACTTGCTATGCAAATCAGTCTAGTGGTGAACTGGTGCCATTTTATGATTTGGGATATTGATAAATACTGGAGGTATCCAATGACAATGAACCAATAGTGGGGTATAAGTAGTCAAACTCCTTTTCCGAATTGCACCAGATTGGTTTTTTTTGTCATCTCCTTTGTTTAATAGATTGATAATGGAATGGCACTTGCTTTATATTGGTGTCTGTCGGCAGCTGCTGGACTGCTTCAGTATCCCCACTGTGATGATTCTGTCCTACTTTGTGCTGAGAGTCCGGTATCATCTGCTACATCTGGTGGGTGTCGTCTGCTGTCTTGTAGGACTCGGTGGGCTGGTGGCGGCAGACGTCATTGCTGGCAGGAACGATGAAGGAGGAACCACAGGAGGTAAACACTGCTTTATGTAGGTTTATGTTTTATCGGTAAAACTTTATTTGTTGACATCTGTTAAAGCTGAGATTAGTGTTTGTGTTGTTCTTGATAACATGGAGTCAGTAATGATTCCGTTGCATTAATTGGAAGGATGTGTGTCCTATATTTGAATCATTGATATGACCCTTGTATCATGCAAAGTTTGTGCATGCGAAAGGCTTGCACTGAGTGAGTTACAACTACTTTATTACATATCTTGTTTACATAATTAGTTTTACAGTAAACTACGTTTATAACGAACACGCTTATAACAAACTGACCAATATAACAAACTTATTCTTTAGTCCCGACCATATGTTGTATAAATCCTGTATATATGCTTATAACGAACTACAGTTATAACAAACTATAATTGGTGGTCCCTTCAAGGTTGTTATAACCGTAGTTTACTGTATTTCAATGAAACAACAATCCTGTGTACATTCTATCTCTCATATTAAATACCTTCTTCTGAATGACAGCCAGTAACAAGCCTCTGGGAGACTTCCTGGTGATTGCCGGCGCTGCCCTGTACGGAGTGTCCAATGTAGGAGAGGAATATGTTGTCAAACATTTTGCCCGCACAGAGTTCCTAGGCATGCTGGGATTGTTTGGCAGTTTCATCAGCGGGATACAATTGTGAGTAAAGCTCTGACTATGGCTGGGGTTGATTTTCTTGTGTGTTTTCAAGTCTGGAAATCTGCCAACAGTTTTTGTATGTATTGGTTTCATAGCTTAGTCTAGTCTGATGAAGGATTGAACATCTTTAACTTCTTTCATTGAAATCAGAATGGGTGGCCGAGTTGTCTAAGGTCTTAATATTTGCTGTGCAGAGCTCTGTCTGTTGCTTACTCTCCATTCAGATTTATGGTAAGCTGTAACAGTCAAGTGGAAGTAACATTGTGATGATTTACACAAGGTCATGGAATCAAATTTCAGAGTTACTGTTTCAAGTTAAAGAACCATAGTAAATAATGAAAGGAAATGATTGGAGACCCAAACATGAAATGTTATAAATTTGACCCAAGTAAGCTAACAAGTGATAACTTCAGAAATCATGTACACAAATATTATTCTGGAAATAAATCACTGTGCACTAACACTTTGTTGAATCATAATAGCCCAAGATTTGAAAATTAATTATTTTCCTGTTGTTTGTATCACATATGGGCAATCTTATGATCATATCTTTTACTCCAATATGATACCTTTACCTGAATAAATGGTCTGATCTTAATGAGGTTGATATATTGACAACTGAACTTTGCCTTTAAGCGTCATCCTGGAGAGACACGAAGTTGCTAACCTTGACTTTACCAGATATGAAATAGGTAAGGTACTGTATAGTGTATACACTTATAACGTTAGTGGTGCCCTGCATGTGGCCATTTCCTACATTCCATAGCATTAAAGGTATTGTAATTATGATATCCCTCATTATTTGTAAATAAATATCGCCAGGTTCCATTGCCTGTATGTTGTGAAACACATCATGATGGTGCCTGCTGTGTGTGTAGTCTGTGTATGTTTCAACAGCACTTAAAGATCATGTCAAAGGAACAGTAGATAATCTTTTATGAAGAAGTGACTAAACTGTGTTCTTATTTCCATCCAATCCAATCAGAACAGGCATTGGCATGACTTGAGTGTATGTAGAACACATGGATATAGTTCAGGGACTGCACCTTTCACCTTGATACTGGATGTTGTCCTATTCAATCCATTGTGATTGGTTGGTTGGTTTGTTGTTTTACGCCACACTCAGCAATATTCCAGCTATATGACGGCGGTCTGTAAATAATCAAGTCTGGACCAGACAATCCAGTGATTGATATCATGAGCATCCATCCACGCAATTGGGATCGATGACATGCATCAACCAAGTCAGCGAGCCTGATCACCCGATCCTGTTAGTCGCCTTTTACGACAAGCATAGTCGCCTTTTACCGCAAGCATGGGTTGCTGAAGACCTATTCTACCCCGGATCTTCATTGGTCTCAATCCATTGTGAAACACCAGGGTTAATATCAATCATCTGTGCAGGATGGCAATCTCTCTGCTGTTCTTTGGCTACCTGATCAGTCTGTTGTCTGTAGGTGGCTTTGAGGGTTGATTTTCTAAGCCTCACATAGAAGGAATTGCGTAACAGTGAAATCTTTTGTTGTGGGCGTTATGTGATGTCATAGAGGTATATCCACAAACACATGAGTCAGTTGAACAAATTGTTTCACTGTGATAAGTCAGTAAAATAAGCAGGGATCTATGACCTTTGTAAATTGGACCAACTTGAGGAAGACTTTTGTTAGACATGAGAGGGAAGTTTTATATGTCCTGAAATGTAAGAGTAGTGTTGTTTCCACAGCAGCATATGTTTCAATGTATTAATGACATGGATTACCTCCCTTCTTTGTTTCAGTGTTTCCATGGCTTGGCTTTGTGTTGTGCCAGTTTCTGATATATACTTGTATGACAATCGTCATCCAGTACACCAGTGCTACCTCAGTCAACCTCTCCATCCTGTCAGCAGACTTCTACTCCCTGCTGTTTGGATTGTTCCTGTTTCATTATGAAGTAAGTGTGTAAATCCTGTCACTCCATCCTGTTAGCAGACGTCTACTCCCTGCTGTTTGGATTGTTCCTGTTTCATTATGAAGTAAGTGTGTAAATCCTGTCACTCCATCCTGTCAGCAGACATCTACTCCCTGCTGTTTGGATTGTTCCTGTTTCATTATGAAGTAAGTGTGTAAATCCTGTCACTCCATCCTGTCAGCAGACATCTACTCCCTGCTGTTTGGATTGTTCCTGTTTCATTATGAAGTAAGTGTGTAAATCCTGTCACTCCATCCTGTCAGGAGACTTCTACTCCCTGCTGTTTGGATTGTTCCTGTTTCATTATGAAGTAATTTTTTAAAGCCTGTCACAGTGAGTGAATGGATCTTTACAGGACACTTTGATCAAGCTGGAATATTGCTCACCCAACATCCCCCACTCAACAGTATCTCCAACTACTGACCACTGATTTGTCTGGTCCAGAGTTGATTATTTACACTCTGATGTGATATAGCTGGAATATTGCTGACTGTGGCATTATTGAACAACACCCTCCACTCAACACTATCTCCAACTACTCACCACTGATTTGTCTGTTCCAGAGTTGATTATTTACACTCTGATGTGATATAGCTGGAATACTGCTGACTGTGGCATTATTAAACAACACCCTCTACTAAACACTACCTCCAACTACTGACCACTGATTTGTCTGGTCCAGAGTTGATTATTTACACTCTGATGTGATATAGCTGGAATATTGCTGACTGTGGCATTATTAAACAACACCCTCTACTAAACACTACCTCCAACTACTGACCACTGATTTGTCTGGTCCAGAGTTGATTATTTACACTCTGATGTGATATACATGTAGCTGGAATACTGCTGACTGTGGCATAGAACAAAATAAATAATAATATTTTCAATAAAATGTCTTGATGTATTTAAAGATAAAGAATGGTTTGGGAAGAAGTGAGTATTAAAATGTTCATGATATTATGTCATTTGCACTAGCTATGTTTTAGCGACCAGTGGATGTCGGATAGTAAAAGGCAGCGGGGCAGAGCACAGACTTGATTTCACTGCTGTGGTGGTGGTAGTATATTCACCCTTGTTTTTCATCAGTTCCATGTGCTGTACTTCCTGGCGTTCGTGCTGATCATCGCGGGGATCTCCGTCTACTCCGTCAAGGAAACAGACACCAGATAGACGAACTACCATATTGTCATCATTTTAAGCTTAGGCCACACTTTATTGACTTTGTGATATATACTTTCTGTTACCAATCAAGTGTGGTTGGTTGAAATAAAAATACATCATGTAGGTCAGTATTTCTATATTTGACCAGTTTAAAATGGTGTAGCTCAATATTTCTTTATTTGAATGGCTAGAAATCAATTAGATCAATATTTATTTATTTGTCTGGGTTAAAATGTGTTTGGGTCGGTTGGTTTAATGGGAAATATAAAAGCTAATTTCGTTAATAATTGTTTTAGGTGAGGGATGTTTAGTATTTTACATTAAAGTGAACCTGTATTGACTTTGATCTTGATTATATATGGGGTGATTGTTATGACCAGAGACTCCACACAAAGCATTTGCTCAACTATTATTTAAAAGGTTAACAGTTACTTTGTTTGTAGTTAATCTTTTTTTTTTTTTTATCCACCTAAGCAACTTGTCGGGCAAAAGAAATAAATCCAATCTTTTTAGTTTCTGATTGTTTTTTGGTCATGGTTGACCAAGGTCAAATTATCTGAGTAGAAACTTTTGATGTTTTTACACAATCCCGTATTTCAGACAGACCATGATGGATATTCTCCTACTGTATTTTGAGGTATGAACATGTGTTAAACGTGACTGATGATGTGGCTGTATGTAGAACGTTTTGATCATTTGTGTATGACATGTTGCAAGGAATGTATTTCTTCATACTGTATGTCACATGCATATTTTGTAGAAAAATGTTTACACATTTCTACAGGAATTTGTGTAAACTTGCAAAGTGTTTCTTATGGGAGACGCAGAAACAAGACTGAAAAATAATTATTCACTCTTTTAAGACAGAGGAAATATATGAAGAAAATACCATTTTAGTAATATAGCTAAATGTATCCAGCTCCATCATTGTACATACTATATATTTGTAGACAGAAGTTTTTTGCAGGGTTATCATGGTTAAGCTGCGAGGTTTTGGTGGTGGGGCAAACACTTAGGGTAGTGAGTGAGTGAGTGAGTGAGTATGGTTTTACGCCGCTTTTAGCAATATCACGGGGGGGGGGGGACACCAGAAATGGGCTTCACACATTGTACCCATGTTGGGATTCTAACCCGTGTCTTCGGGCGAACGCTTTAACCACTAGGCTACCTGACCGCCCCCACTTAGGGTAGACATGCTGATACTGTTCTTGTCTTTCTTATTCTTCCAACATACTCAGTTACTTACGTTCCAGGTAGGAAAGGATGAAATGAAATAAAAATTGGAAATACTCTGAAATGGATTGCCTACAATTTGAGACAATTATCCTGAAATATCTTTTGGAGATATTGCAAGATTTAGGACAGTTTGGTATCAGATAATGTATATAGAACTTGCGTTATCTAAGGTGAAGGTCACTTGCAACAAAGAGGTCAGGAGGTATGTAGAACTTTTTTTAGAACAGATGATAATCTCAGATCACAGCTTTTAAGACATATATCTTCCATAACATTGTATTGTAGTTTTTATATGATTTTATGTAAATGTACATCATTTTTAAATTATTTCTTATTTAATTTCATGTTTGTTTGTTGTTTAATGCAGCACTAGGCAATATTCCAGCTGTGTGATGGTGGTTATCTGTGTATCATGGTGTATACCATAGTTTACTCTTCATAGAAATGTGTGTAGTACTTCCTGTTTTATGGCAATTTGTGTATATTTTACAAGGAAGAATGATTGTTTGTGATTCTATCTGTTACTTGTTTTGGTGTTGAATATTATTTAGGTTGTACTGTTTATTTTATTGAAATCGTGAATTTTATACTTTACATTTCACAACATTTGCTTACAATTTTGACTGAAAAACAGTATCTCTGCTTATCAGCACTGAACAGTGTTCATGTGTTTGGTAAAGGTGAACTTCACAGACAGACTTCCTTGTTGTCCATGTACTTTATCATAATCAATATGGTTCTGATGTATGAATCATGACATACACATGAATGTCTACAAATGACTCAGTGTATATACCAGTACATGGATAACATAAGTTGTAAGTGATGAGAACTTTATTTATGTCACAACATATTATTTATTTTTTCTTTAATGGTTGTTAATACTGTCTTTAGTTCAAACTTTAATAATTGTTAATTTGAGTGAACCACACAAGAGAAAGGTATCAAAATGTCAAATGATACTGTACATTGGCTTGAACCGTAATGAGACAAAAACAGAATAGTGGCAAGCAATATTGCTGCAGGCAGACATATTAAACTTTTAAGATATTCATATATGCAAATTAACAAGTCTCAAGGCTTTAGATGATTTAAACGAACACTCAAATATAATTATGATGCAGACTTTGTATGGCTTTCCAGAAAGATCAGTCTTCAATCTGTTCACACAACATACTACTTCTCAAGACCAGAGTAGCGTAATGTAGCATCAGGGTTAAAGAGTCAGACCTCCGAATTTTCTTTCCCTTTAAAGATATCTTATGTGGGTAATGAAATAGTGAGATATTTCACCGTAACCTGTGTAAATAGCACAATTTTTTATTTTGAAATATAAGTTGTTGAAATATTAATTTGTAATACTTTCAACTCGTTAGAAGCTCATCGAGGTTCATCAAAGATCCAGCCCAATTTAACACCCGTACACTATACATTTTCAAAGCATGAGAAAGGAGTGGGTCATGTACTTATTGAAAATTCCAGTATGAAAAAAGGTAAGCACCGCTTATGCTATATTTCTAAATCATATACAGTGTTAATATTCAGACAAAACATTTGTTTTGGTACATAAAGTGATGTTTATATTGAAATATAGAAGCTGAATGTGATTATCTAATACATCTTGTAACTGTTCCATGGCACTGATTGCTCTGCTCCTATGCATCGTATGATGTGACCAGTACTTGAGATAAGGTGAAATTAGGTTTAAGGGTGTTCAAATTCTTGCACTTGCATTGCAACATGCATGCACATGTGGTTGGCTCCTTGTACTAGTCTGGACTAATGCCAGTTTTAAAGTGCCATCCCACTGAAGTATTGTGCAGCAGTTTAACGTGGATACCCCTGTGAGACACAGTATGACTTCGAGGCAACCAGTGCTTATGTTATCCACTTGATACCATCTTTTAACGTCATTTGGTATGACAGGGTAGACACTCTCTCTATCCAGAAGACCACAGAGGCAGTCATTTGGAGAAAGAAACTGTTCTTATACCATATTTTCAGCAGGCATGGGGGGTTATGTTAAATATTTATCAAATGAGTGAGTGAGTGAGATTGGTTTTAACAGTATTCCAGTTATATCACAGCTTGTCAGCTTAATGTGGGAGGAAAGTGGGGACAACATTGGGGACAGTGGACATGTTTGTTGAGATTGTTATTTATATTTATCTTCTAATTACCAGTTTTATCTTCACATACTAAGATAATTTTGTAATAAAACACTCTTGCAGCCTTTTGCCTTCAACAATTTACGTGTCCTTTTTTAGCTTACATTGATTATGTCAGATGAGTTGATTTTCAACATTGGGGACAGTGGACATGTTTGTTGAGATCGTTATTGATATTTATCTTCTAATTACCAGTTTTATCTTCACATACTAAGATAATTTTGTAATAAAACACTCTTGCAGCCTTTTGCCTTCAACTATTTACGTGTCATTTTTTAGCTTACATTGACATCACCAATTTGGGCTGATGTTTGTTGGTTTGGTAAAACTGAACATATACTGATCATATTCATATACTGATCATATTCGGGCTACAACAAAGAGTGAGTGAGTGAGTATGGTTTTACGCCGCTATTAGCAATATTACGGCAGGGTACACCAGAAATGGGCTTTACACATTGTACCCGTGTCGGGAATCGAACCTGGGTCTTCGGCTCGACGAGTGAACGCTTTAACCACTAGGCTACCCGACCGCCCTACAACAAAAATGATTCAGTATTCAAAATACACCACACCAGCATATTGTGGAAAACACAAAACCAATGGACAGGTTTTCAGATGTTGATGTCTTATCAAGAAAGAAAATGGCTTCTGTTGCTGTCATATAGTGTGTGTGTGAAGTTGACACTCCAATAACAAAGCTTTGAGTTCCCTTTGGTACACGATTTGCTCTCACAACTTGAGTAATATGGATACATTCCTAAAGAACCATTTGTCACCACTCGCCTCTTTCCGTAACCTGCAAGAAAACTCGTCCCCCTATCAATGAATGTTATGTGCGAAAATACGACACAAACCAATCAGAATGCACATATGATTACAAGTTCTTCGTCAAAGAATCCCTCAGAAATAATTTTTGATTTTACATGTGTTGCATCTACAAATATACCCAAGGCACGGTTAAATGTGTTCAGTCATGCTGTATAATTCCTCATGTCCAGATGTGCTTTAAATTGCATCTGAAATATGTATAATATATGGGGAAATATATGTGAACCATAACGTGACGAGGTGACAATTATTTTAGGTATGCCTGTTTGCGCTAAGACTGAACCCGGTCGCAAAAATGGCCATGAGAGGGGCACGAGTCGCTATTCGGCTTGTCCCAGGATAACACGAGTTGTCACAAATGGAACTTAACATATTTTGAGCAAATATTTAGCAAACTAGGCATACATGGAACTCTCAGACAAGTCGAGTGTATAGAGCATTGGGCTCGTGAAAGGTTAAGGTTACCAGACCATATACAAACGAGAGAAAACTCAAATGTTGTAATCTTGTTTTGGTGGATGAGGCATTGGAATGGCAATGGAAGAACCCATTGAACAGTGGACTCAGGTGGAGTGTGAGGCAGTGCATATGGAGTTCATGCTCTTCACGTATACATTAATGCACGCCAACTGGCAAAAGAGCAAACCTTCAACCTGTTTTTTTCAACTGCCCACTTTTTGTTAGGTCATGTGTTTAGATGAAAATAATAATTAATAAGGTGTGGTGTGGTGTGGTGTGTGTGTGTGTGTGTGAGAGAGAGAGATAGAGCGAGAGATGCTGTTTGTCTGCATAAGCACAAGGAATACCGGTAGGTGTCAACTGTCAAGCCAATATTTTAGTATCATAATAATAATTTACTGGACCATGCAACTAGTGGTTGATAGCATGAGCATCACTATGTTGTAAGGTCATACATTGTAACCATCTGATCCTCACTTAAGTGACAACCTATTCTGTCACAATCCCTAAAGGTTCCCTAGGATATGATTTCCCTAATTTTGTCACTCAACACTAGGAAATGTTGCAAAGAGATCATTGTAACCCTATCGCAAACTATTCAAATGGTGAGGGTACACTAAAAATGTAATTCACACATCATACGCTTGTGGGAATCAAAGCCAGGTCATCCGTGTGAAGAGTGAACATGTTTTTGTTTTTTTTCCTTTTATTGTTTTTAGAAAGACACACCTGTTACATAAATGGGCTTCCGCCCAGGGTAGCAGAAAGCCCATGACATAAAGCACAACTTATCAGTACATCTTACTTTGTTGTTTTTTTTATACAGAAAATAACATACTTCTCACTCACACATTCACTCTTGTTTATATATCATATTGCAGTTTAGGAAAGTACATGGTCTCAAACATTAAAATCTTAAGTACAAAACTAAAATTAAATTGAAAGCTGCTCCTCATTTTCGAAAAGTTGATGATACAGCATCCAAGCACCATAGAATTTCTGTTGATTACCTGTCTTGAAAGCAATATCTTTTTCAATGTTGTATCGTGAAAAAGCTTCCTTTTTATAAACATGAAAATAAGGCTTTGTATTTTGGAATTTGCATCTATAAATATAGTATTTTGCAATTAGTAAAAGTAAATCAAACACTTTATCTGTTTTTATGTTCTCTTTAACTCCAAAAAGTATCAATTCTGCACAAAATGTCATATTATAAACATGAAAGCACTGGTCGATCCACAATGACACTTCATCCCAAAATTGTTTATTACATCACATTCCCAAAACAAGTGAGTAATTGTTTCCTTTTCATTGTGACAGAAGGAGCACAAATCATTCTGAGCATAATTGAGTAAATACAGAAAAGTATTAGTGGTGAGAATTCTGTGGGTAATTTTGTATTGAAACCATCGCAGTTTGACATCCTGTGTTGTACTGAAAATTTTATTATAAATATTGTTCCAATTTAAGTTTTCAAATTGTAATTCCCACTTTTCCTGCCCTTTAGTTTTTACTTCTGTAGAAACCAATGAAAAATAAATATGTTTTGAACCGGACTTGGAACTACAAATAGTTTTTACCACACAGCGCTGATCCTCCACAGAATCTGTTGGAACTCTAACTAAATTTAGAGCTCCAAGGTATTGTTTAACGCTGCTAACAACACCATAAAACTCCAAATAGGATGAACAAATACCATACATATCATTAAATTCCTCATATGACAGAAACTCCTTATTGGCCTTGACCAAGTCTATAATTTGGGAGATGCCCTTCTCAAACCAGCATTTCAAGAAAAATGATTTCCTGTTAATTTTAATATTAGGGTTATACAAAATTGGTTCAGTTAAAAAACTACTGAAAGATTCTGGCTTGATTTTCTTATCAAGCACTATAAATGACTGAAAACAACTTTTCCAAAACTCATTACTTATCAAAGATAATTTTCTTTCAAAAAACGTCACACCAAACTCACCAAGTTTACACAAATAAGGATATGTAGATTTAAATAGGTGCTTCCATTTTGGATCACCCGAGGACACAAGTCTCCTTATCCATGTGGCCTTAAGAGATGTTACATATGAAAAGATATTCACCATACCTAAGCCCCCTTGCTTAACAGGTTGACAAACTTTAATCCTCTTTACTTTGTCTCGTTTATCACTCCAAAGAAATTTAAAAAGCATAGCATTTAAAGTAACAAGAAAATCATTTGGGGGATCAGGCAGTGAAAACAATAGATAATTGAGTTTTGAAATCAACAAGGATTTAATGATTGCCACCCTACCAATTGGTGTAACTATCCGTTTCATCCACCTATTCATAATCTGTTTTAACTCAAATAATTTGTCTTTAAAGTTCAACTGAACCATTTTTTTCAGATTTGTGCAAAATTTGACTCCTAGAATTCTAAACTCTTATGGATTCCAACCAACAGGCAAATCATCTTTGAACTTTTCCTTACAACCTCTCTTCGAGCCAAGCCAGATAACTTGAGTTTTATTATAGTTAATCTTAAGACCAGATATTTTGGCAAAACAATCAAGAGAGTTAATACATGATACAAAGGAGGACTGACTACCATCAAGTAATATTTCCATATCATCAGCATACTGACTAAGAAGATACTCACTACCGTCCACCAGGATACCTTTGACATCTCTATTAGAGCGGATCATATTGGCTAGTATTTCTGCACAGAGAATAAATATATACGGTGACAATGGGTCACCCTGTCGGCAACCGCGTCTGATATTAAACCAAGATGACAACTGACCATTGATGGACATACAGCTTTTTATATCATTGTAAAATACCGATATATATTAAATTTTCACCAAATCCCCAAAAGGATAAAGATTTATCTATAAATGACCAAGCAATGGAATCAAATGCCTTCTCAAAGTCTATAAGAAGAAGCATACCAGGAATGTTTGATTTTTCTGTACATGAGATGGCATCATAGATTAAGCGAATATTGTCACCAATGTAGCGACCTGTCATAAAGCCAGTCTGATCTTCATTAATGATAAATGGCAATCTTGACTTGATTCTATTTGCTATGCATGAAGATGCGAGCTTATATGAAACATTCAATAGTGATATGGGCCTCCAGTTAGTTATGAAGCGTTTAGGCTTGTCCCCCTTTGGAATACAGACAATAACCCCTTGTTTCTGGGTAACAGAGTTCACCAGATATTAAACCACAATTCAATGATCGCAATAAAAATTGTCCAATATCTTTCCAAAAGAATTTATAAAATTCAGTGGGAAAGCCATCTGAGCCTGGGCTTTTGTTATTTTGCATATTTTTCAAAGCTTTTGCCAGCTCATCAAGAGTTAATAGATCTTCCATCTCGTCCACATCACTTTTATTTAAAAAGGGGACAGAATCTCTGTCCAACAGGGTATTCAAATCACAATCTTGCACCATGTGTTCTTTGCTACTGTATAAATTCTCATAGAAATTGGCAGCTTCAGCAATAATGTCACTTGAATTTAGCAATGTGGTGCCATCGTTTAACTCTAAATGAGTCATAGACTTGCTGACAAAATTCCTGTTCTCAAGGTTACAGAAATAGCTGCTGACTCTTTCACCATCCATAATCCACTTAGTTCTAGATCTTATGGCAATTCCAGCCATCTTGTGTTTCCTAATTTCCTCCAATTCTTTTCTTTTATCTTCCAAGTCATCAAAATTAATAACACTAGAAGTTTCAAGAATTTCGATCTGTTGAATCAGGTTTTGTTCTTTTTCAATAGTTTTTTTTTTCTTGAAGGAAGAATAAGAAACTGTTTTTCCTCTGATTTCCAGAAGCAGGACTTCAAAAAATAATTGATCATTTATATTAAACTGAATTTCATGATTAGGTATATCATTAATATTTCGAGCATCACCATACATTTTAATATACTACGATTTAACCTTTAAAATAGTTTCTTTTACTAGATCTATGTAATACTTATCTTTCAACAAAGAAGTATTAAATTTCCAGTATGTATTACGCTTTGGACAAGTTTGAAATGAAATACTCAGATCTATGATTGAATGATCAGTTCTATAACCTGCAGTGATTTTTGCCTGTGTGGCAAAAGAATAGAGTCTTTCTGAGATGAGGAAGAAATCTAATCTTGCTTGTTTTAAGGGTGACTTTTTACGCCAAGTAAACCTTTTGATTTCTGGATTGAAATCTCTCCACACATCTACCAAATCAAAATCACCAATTAATTTTAATATTTTTTCACGAGCACGAGGATTATTGATATTCTGGTAATTATGAACATCTAGTGACTCATTCAAAACAAGATTCCAATCTGCAGCTAAAATATAATCCTCATTTCCCATGACACGAGCTTGCTCTTTAACCTGCTCATAGAATTCTGGTGAGTCTAAATTGGGACCATAAATATTCACAAGTGTTACCCGTTGATCACTAATAGTTATATCTAATATAAGTAAGTTACCATTGTCATCCATGTAAGTCCTATGAATCTTATAGTCCACATTTTTGTTAAACAAAATCGCAACACCCCTGGACTGGCTGTTTTTGGAATTGAAGATGCAATCAAATCCCCACTGTGATCTTATAATTGGTTCTTGTTCTTTTGTAAAATGTGTATCCTGTAGTAGATAAAATGAGTATGCTTTAGATCGTAAAAAGTTAAAAACATCTTTTCTCTTGGCATTATCTTGCAGTCCTCTACAGTTCATAGAGCAGCAGGTAAAACCTAAGTTAGCCATTGTCAATAAAAGATTTGTTCAGATACACAGAGGCCATATGAAAGATTGAATTTACACACTTTCTACACATACATACACTTTCACAACTATCTGAAGAAAAAGCTTTAAAACCATAAATGACTGAAATCAAACTCACACTTGCTTCTACAAACTTCAAGTAAAGCATCGTATGATACAAACTGGCACCATGTGGCTACCACCAGAAAAAAAGGGGTAAAATCTTCACCCAAAAGTATCAGTGGCATATAACAGAAAAGACCAGGAACAAAAATAGCTGTCATAATGATAAGTAAGAAGCACACAAGTGTCAAACCATTACACAACTAAATACTGTCCACTGTGAAGCTAACATCCCAAATTCACAGTTACTAGTGATTTGGTTGAATATTTCCTCATGCAATATTCAATTGACCCATTACACTATAAACTAAATTAGGCTGTGGCATACAGCGAGTATAGGCACTAACATAGTAATATAGAGAAAAGTAGAAAATAACCAAACCAACACACTGTCCGATATGTAATTTACGAGTTTTACACACTTACAAGTTCTCTATTGATCAAAAGTTTAACTGATGAACTAATGATGCAATGCATATAAGACTTATATCTGATATTATGCAAATAAGTCTTATCATTATTATCTCATAAAGTAATTCTACAGTATACTAGTTTGTTTTTTAATTGATATCTCCAGTTTTTTGTGTTTTTTTTTTTCGTTGTTGTTTTTTTTTTCATAACGAAACAACGTGACAATGGATCTTCACATGTCCAAGAGCGAGATCAACAAACCCGAACATGATGATGTGCACTAAAATAAAGTTAACACTACATTTGTGATTTATAACAAACAAAATAAAAATTGACCGAGAGAATGGGTCACTCATCATCAGTAATTCTACAGTGTATTCGTTATTTAAACCCACCTCCCAAAAAGCGGCTATCTTATTTTATTTTTCACACCTTATCCATGAAAGAAATATAAGAATATCGTCCTCTCCATGAGTCATGTGGGCCGCCATTTTGAATGGTCACGTGACAGACGTACACACCTTGGTCATGTGATATGCGAAATACCAATGTAAAAAGTTCAAGAAGCGTCTCCGGTAACACTGTGAAACAACATGACAGTGGATCTTCACATGTCCGAGAGCGAGATCAAGAAACCCTAACATGTTGATCTGCACTCAAATAAAGTTTACACTAGATTTGTGTTTAAAAGAAACAAATAAAACATTGATCGAGAAAATGGGTCACTCATCATCACATACATTGATTCTTGGTTCCTCGTCCTCTTTGAGAGTTTTCCATGCGTCCCTGGCATCCTTTCTGTAATACAGGGTAACAACGATCCCCTTTTCGCGAACCTTTGCATGTAGTTGTTGTTTACGTAATTCAGCGGCTTTTCGTACCAGGCGGCCACGAAGTTTTTTTAAGTCGACAGGCAGGTCTGTACGAACACTGAGCCGGTCTTTCGCCAATTCCCTCCCCACGGAATAGGTAGTCTTCAAAATGAGATCTCTGTCCTCCATGCGGACGAATTTAATGATGATAGGATTAGGTTCTTCGTTCGGTGTGAATCGAGGGAGTCTGTGAATATTCACAAACAACATGTTGTCCACCGCATGTGAATCCAGGTGTAATTTATCCTTGAAAATGTTTCTACAGGCCTTGTCAACATCTGTGACTGTATTAGGTACACCGTAGATAAGTAAGTTGGATTTACGGGAATACATCTCTGAGATCAGTAGCTTTTCTCTTAGCTTGTCGATTTCGTCGCGGAGGCGTTGTTCTGACGACGCCATTTTGTCACCAAGGTCGTCGATAGATTTCGACATAAATTCCACCGACGACTCCACTGAAGATACCCGTTTGAACAAGTCAGCCACTTCTTCTTTAACAGAGTCGATCTTGGAACATATCTGACTGGTCTGTTTGTCCAATTCCTCACGAAGGAACGTTTTCAAGTCGCTGGGTGCAACGTCAGCAGGCGGGGAGGACGAAGGTGAATGTAAGGGCAGAATAACGTCAGAGCTTTCCTCCTCATCTGTCTGCTCCGGGCGTAAATACGAGCTGATTTTATGTGTAGCAGTACTGCTGGTGGTAGATTTGTTGTTCTGTTTGTTTGTATTTCGTCTCCCCGCCATGCTTGTGTAAAGATTGAAGTGGATTACCACGAGAGCGCCAGTCGCACGTCTTTACGATTCGAGCGCCATACCGGAAGTCCAAGAGTGAACATGTTAATAACATCATCACACCCGCAACTTTAGGGTTTTATTTTTGCAATATGGTGGCCTCTATTAAGTTGGTTGGTTGGTTGGTTTGTTGTTTAATGCCGCACTCAGCAATATTCCAGCTATATGATGGCAGTCTGTAAATAATCGAGTCTGGACCAGACAATCCAGTGATTGATATCATGAGCATCAATCCACGCAATTGGGATACGATGATATGCATCAACCAAGTCAGCGAGCCTGACCACCCGATCCCTTTAGTCGCCTATTAAGAATATAATGTCTATCCCGTAACCTCTGACTCACCTCAAATATGATGAAACCGTGAACAAAAAACATGAAACCCCAACATCCTTTTAATGACTTTATTGTACCAGTGATACAAGGCATCACTGAACAAATAATCAGCCTTGCAATAGAAATGTTACAACTATTCCAAGACCTTTCAACCAAGAAGAGTGTGAAATGTTGATTAAAAACGAAAGTAAACCTCTAAAATACTTCAAAAAGCACAGTATTGCAGAACACAATACATTAAAACCCTTGCAGACATTCCATCCCACACAAGAAAACAAAGGAATAATTTCGCATTTCAACTTAAAATAATGGTGCACTCACATGAGTTCCGTTGCTTTTTCATGAAGTTACTATTTACAGAATAATACCCTTCCTGACAAACATCTTAGCACCTTGCAGATGTGAATCACAGGGGACGATTTCTTCCGTTTTATTTGTTTGTCAAAAGCACACGATACATTCTGACAAAGTGGGAATAAAGTGGGCAGGACTACAATATACACTTTAAGTTAACCTTCAATATTGACAATTAGTTACTTCTCGCAATTTCTACCCTGTATCTCAAAGAGTAACATCCAAATGATAAAGACAGTGTTAGACAAAAACCCATCATCATAATGATAATTCAATATTGAGGTGTAAATGTACACAACTAATAATTTATTCATTTTTTAAGTACAGGTAAGTGTCAAACGTAATTCTAGAATAGATGATTTACAATCTGATTTACTTAAGTGGTAATATTGTTGTAAATGGCCAGTCACAAAAAAAACATATTTCCCACAATTTCACACACAATTCCTCTAGCCACACCAACTGCAGCACATGATTTGTGAAAATGTAAGAAAATAATATCAAGACATAAGCTAGTAGATGAACAAGAAATGTTTCCTGTGATGTGTTCTCAGCAGCATGGCTACAGTCATTATTGCTCCATAATTGTGTATAAACGTGTCTCTACCCCGTAGGACTCCACAGAACACTGTCATGCTATCACAAACCTTGATTTCTCTAACAGGATGCAAGTCAATATGCATCCTGGACATAACTTTCAAGGAATGGAATCATGATCATTAGAGCTTTGATAAATATACTGAGATTGTACACAACCAAAAATACTCTGATACAGAGAGATTTCCCGTGTCAGTGATCTACAAATAGGTTTGGGCACGGATGCAAAAAGTTTTTATTAAGAGTTTAAGGAATGGATTCATAAATCACTGATACAAGAAAATTCAGGAATTTACAGTTAAGATATTTAAAACAAGCCATAACAGTTTCAATCAGCAAATAACCCCCATCATCTCTAAACATGACACCATCATTCATAGCTAGACAAATGGAATTTTGGCAATGCACTGGGAAAATAATGGCAATCAATTGGACTGTATTTAAAGCTAGTCTGCACAGTTACATCTATATTATGACTGAGTCCCAAGGAGTAACCACAGAATGTCCACTGTGTGGGATGTGAACATGGAACAACAGCTAACTGGATTCAGGGTGATGGTGATGTTAGACATCCTTCCCCTCCATCACAGCGCCAACTTTCATCTTCATGGACATGAGAGCCTTCTCTCGCAACTTCTTCTCTAGCTCCTCCAGCGACTCTCCCTCACCGCTTTCTGAACCCTGCACACAAAAAACAATGTCAAAGCGACATGTTCAGCCAAAGTGTTCTCAGGTTTGATATGTGCATAGTAGTTGTTTTTTCTCCATCTGAAAGATCAGTTAGTATCAGTTAGTATCAGTTGTAATTGAATGTTGCAAAATGCATAAAATAACCACTCTTAGTCGTATTTAAATAACAAAAGACACCACTTCACTACTGCACTGATGTTTAAGGTGAGGTGAAATGGGGTTTAAGGTCATGTTCTTTCAATGTTTACATCAGAACTTGGACAAGCACATGGAACAGTGATAGCATGTCTGTGTGAAATAGCATGTTCAGTGGTCTAGTTCTCACCTCGGCAGCATCTTTGGCCTCCTTCTTATGCTTGTGTTTCTTATGTTTCTTGTGTTTCTTGTGCTTCTTGTCCTTCTTCTTTTTCTTCTTCTTGGCTGCCTGGTCACCCTCCGAGCTCTGCAACATAGTCATTGCTCTCTTTTGATATAGCTAAGATATCGTAACTCAAAACTGAAGTTAGGCAAGAACATAAAATAATAATCCATACACCATCCATATTGACCCTTTCTCAAGGACAAAAAGCCTGATATTCTCTGATTCATGTGCCATGTATCACCCCTGGTTAAACCATAAACATATTCACTTAAACTGCCATTAAATATGTGAGTGAGTGAGTGAGTGAGTGAGTGAGTGAGTGAGTGAGAGACGAGAGAGAGATGAGTGTGGCATAACAACAAACAAACAAACTATATTCTACATACATGGAACATGTTACCCTAACACCTTAAATCGCCTACAAAATGGGTATGGAATATTTCCATTACAATGTTAGCAGGACTCTGAATAGTATTTTCCAACTATCAAACAATAAATCTGTGAATGCTGCTCAATTCCATGCCCTATTCTCTCAATTCCAACAGGAAAAAATAACAGTGTGAACAATAAATACTGAATAATTGCAAATCTTTAGACGGGGATTTACACACACATAAACATGTCGGTTCAACACACCTCTGAACCACTCTGTGATGCTGCTGCTTTCTCCATCTTAGCCTTCTTCTTGGGCGTTTCCCCATTGGCCCGAGCTGGACTTGAACTAGGTTCCCTCCTCCGAGGAGCATCACCAGCCTCAGGCTTGTCCTTCTTGATAGTGATCACCCTCCTGAATGTGTCCTCACCTGCTGGGGCCTCCTCATCCGAGTCAACCCGGGGGGGTGTCTGTCCTGGAACTGGGGGTTCTGGGGAAAATGACGGAGGTCTCTTTGCCTTCCTTGCTCTTGGCTCTGGGCTACCAGACTTTCTCCTCGGAGGCCGATCATCCAACACTTTGTCTCCTCGTACCTTGGCTGGCTGTTTACGACTCTCTTTGGCTACTCTCTGTGGTGAAGGTGATGCTGAGGAGTTGCTGTCACGCCTTGTCCTCTTCTGTGATACCATAATCTGTCTTCGTGGTGGTGGACTGTCTGAGGTGTCCCTCTGTCTTCTCCGCGGAGATGATGTTGAATTTTGTCGGCGTCTGGGTGGAGGTGGTGGAGGTGATGGTGATGACTGTGATATCTGTCGTCTTCTCACCGGTGATTCCCTCGTATTGCGTCTCTGAACAGGAGATTTAGAAACAGGGGCTTTAATCTTTCTCTTGGGTGACGGGTCGGTCGATTCATCTCTATGTCTAGGTGCTGGTGATGAGGAACCAGATGATGAAGAAGATGGTGCCCTCTTTTTCGGTGCGGGTGAGGGTTTGCGCCTGCGTGCTGGAGGTGATGACTGTCTCTTCACAGGATGAGGTGACGAATCAGAGTCTGATGACGATGATGATGGTGGTCTTCTTCTTTGCATAGCTCTCTGTCTGGCAGGTGAGGGAGACCGGGATATAGGGCGTCGTCTTGGAGATCCTCTCCTCATCTGTGGAGGGGGTGATGGGCTAGGTCGGCCTCGACGTAGGACGGGGGAAGATGAGCTACGTCTTCGTCTCATTGGAGGGGGTGATCGAGACCTTGAACGTGACTTAAACCTACTGTCATACCCTCCTGCTCTGCCCCTGGGACTGATCCTGTGTCTGGGTGGGCTTCTGAAAGAGATAACAATGTTGAGTTCAACTGTTCCTGTTCTTTCATAAAATAATATGCATGCTCAGAGAGATGATACACAAGATGAAGCAGAAGTCATTATTTGTAGATCATGTGCACAATTCACTGTCATAATAATTGTGATCCAATCTACAGAGACAAATTACATTCATGTGATGTCAATATTTCAATTTTCAATGACACTCTGTACTGGATATGTTCCTTCTTTAAAAGCAAACTGAATTTTTAATCATCCAATGACATTCAAGCAGCGACCTCCTACAGTTTACAACATGTTTTACAAATCTTCATTCTGAAAATGTTTGGAGGGAGTCCCAGAACTGTTATAAAACCTTATTTAACAAAACATAGAGGCGCTTTTATCAGACATATTTTGGCTTGATCACATTGACCTACTTATTACTGATTCATTACATTCACATAGAAACTGTTCTCATGTATTCTTCAGTCATATGTACATTCTTATGAAGCATCTTGTCTGCTTATCCCTATTGTAGTGTACTGTGAATGGCATACTGTCTTGCAATGAACGTGTTATTTAGCCTAGCAAACTACATATGTAACTTCAACCTACCTCCTTGGTGGTGAGCGGTATCTGGGAGGCGATGGTCTGCAACAGAAAACAATACAGTCAGAGTAACTTTACATGTTATACAATACATACATACAAGATACAACATAAAACATATACAATACAAAAAACATACACTGTGAACACAGACACGCGCACGCACACACACGAACGCACGACAGACACACTCAATTCTTGTTAATTAGCAAATTAAAGGAGACTAATGCAAAGTGTCTACTAGGAAACAAGGAAACATGTTAAGGCAGAATGTGGAATCACATTGACACACATGTACTGTACATACGCCATACACATGTACTGTACATACACTATACACATGTACTGTACAGACACCATACACATGTACTGCACATACACCATACACATGTACTGCACATACACTATACACATGTACTACACATGTACTGCACATACACCATACACATGTACTGTACATACGCCATACACATGTACTACACATGTACTACACATGTACTACACATGTACTACACATACACCATACACATGTACTGTACATACACCATACACATGTACTACACATGTACTGCACATACACCATACACATGTACTGTACATACGCCATACACATGTACTGTACATACACATGTACTGTACATACACTATACACATGTACTGTACATACACCATACACATGTACTGTACATACACATGTACTGTACAGACACTATACACATGTACTGTACATACACATGTACTGTACATACACATGTACTGTACATACACTATACACATGTACTGTACAGACACCATACACATGTACTGTACATACACCTTACACATGTACTGTACATACACTATACACATGTACTGTACATACACTATACACATGTACTGTACATACACTATACACATGTACTGCACATACACCTTACACATGTACTGTACATACACTATACACATGTACTGTTCATACACTATACACATGTACTGTACATACACTATACACATGTACTGCACATACACCTTACACATGTACTTACATACACTATACACATGTACTGTACATACACTATACACATGTACTGTACATACACTATACACATGTACTGCACATACGCCATGCACATGTACTGTACATACACTATACACATGTACTGTACATACACCATACACATGTACTGTACATACACTATACACATGTACTGTACATACACCATACACGTACTGTACATACGCCATACACGTACTGTACATACACCATACACATGTACTGTACATACACTATACACATGTACTGTACATACACCATACACATGTACTGTACATACACTATACACATGTACTTTACATACAGCATACACATGTACTGTACATACACTATACACATGTACTGTACATACACCATACACATGTACTGTACATACACCATACACATGTACTGTAAATACACCATACACATGTACTGTACATACACCATACACATGTACTGTACATACACTATACACATGTACTGTACATACACCATACACATGTACTGTACATACACTATACACATGTACTGTACAGACACCATACACATGTACTGTAAATACACCATACACATGTACTGTACATTCGCCATGCACATGTACTGTACATACGCCATGCACATTTACTGTACATACACCACACATGTACTGTACATACACTATACACATGTACTGTACATACACCATACACATGTACTGTACATACACTATACACATGTACTGTACATACACCATACACATGTACTGTACATACACTATACACATGTACTGTACAGACACCATACACGTACTGTACATACACATGTACTGTACATACACCATACACATGTCCTGCACATACACCATACACATGTACTGTACATACACCATGCCTAGCTGATACTCAGTATTTGTAGAGACGGAAGACCCAGTCTAACAACCAGCTACCTACCTCTATCAGATTCAGTCGCTATCACTTCCAGTAACTAGAGTTCTCGCCCTTAGACTGTAAACACCTGCCGCTAACATTCCTCCCCGCTCAAACCATCAGTATATCAGTTAAGGACAAAGTCTATATGAAACTGTTTGCAAATCTATTTGAAACTGCTCAACTTCTCTATAATCCTGATACAGATAAATCAAGTTAATGTTCCTAATCATGTTGCCTAGCTCGAGTCTGTCTGCATCTCACTGTTTACATTTGTTCCGGTTACTAGAGTTGTCTCACTTAGACCTGCTGCCAAAGCAGTCACAACTTCCTACCAACACTACAGAAACACTGGTAACACACACATACTAGGACATAGAAACACACATCCGTTACATAGGAACACACACATACAATGACATAGGAACACACACATACAATGACATAGGAACACACACATACAATGACATAGGAACACACACATACAATGACATAGGAACACACACATACTATGACAGGAACACACAGATTGAGGAATTAATACATATTTGCAAGTACATGTACAAATAAAAAATAACATCAAAATATAAAGGCAATTCTAAATGGGAAACTCAAGTGACAGAAAGGCTGCCAAAACAAGAAGCAGTGCAAGATCAAGTGCTTCTACGCATACTTTGGGGGACACCTACTCCATGAAGCCCTCAATGTTTCATATACCTCTAGAACAGTTCGATAAGGGTTTTGTGGGCTTGTTATTTTCAAAGCCATTCAGTCAGAACAGACAAAATCAAGGAAAATGAAAACCCCAAAAGCACAAACTAGTTAAATATTTGTAGAAAGCATTCCCATCCTCTCACACCTACACTACAGAGGCACTACTCCATCTCTCTGGCCTAAACATGTTCAGTTCTCAGCTCCATGTTCTCACAAGGTAGGGCGCCAGGTTTCCAGTGAGTACATCAGACAGATGAGGTGTGTGTGTAGCATCAGGGATGCAACTTGCCCTTTGTCTGAGTCAGCATGGTCAGTTCGTCTAATGTTAAAGGATCAGCAGAATTTCAAGCATTCTAGGGGGTGTCCTTACGGTATCGTTTTTCAAGCTAGTACAGGCTTCAGGTAAAGTTGCATCCACGGTATGATGGTGAGTGAGTGAATGAGGGAGATACAGCGTAGATGCCACAATGTGTGTAGCAGTAGTGCAATAATATCATGGCAGGGGGAACCAAGAATGGGTGTGACAGATGTCAAGGACACAAGTGACACTCATATACACACCCTGTAGGATTAATGCACAGTGCATGCACTTTAACATCACACATTGTCATCAGTCACAACCACCCATTCAAATGGTAGGAAAAGTAAATAAAAGAAAACTGTAATTCTTCTACTGGTACTGAATATTAGCTATATACAACCACTGTGCCAAGATTGCTATATATTGTAAGCTCAATGTGGATCAAGTTTTCTGAGACAATATGTAACCAACATTAGCACAGCTTGATATCAAATATCACCTTCTGAAGTGAGGAGGTGGAGGTCTGAAATATAAAGGGTGCCGTAATTAGAGATGGCTGATCAGGTCTCAGTAATAGTGTCATCTCATTATTAGTGCTGGAGTGACTGAACAAATAATTTGTCAGTAATTCCCTCCCAGTCATCCAAACAAAATAAGTAGAATTGGAACATACAGGATGTAATCATATAATGACAATAATTTGACAGCAACAGCTGCTACTAATATTTTCTTTGATGCATATATCATTTCCGGGGAGAACTAAAACGACTACCATCAATTAATGATCAATGTGACAGCTACTAATATTCACTATGATAACCAACACTACTAAGGGACCAATCAATTCATCTTTGGGACACTCTTTTCATGACAAGGATCAACATAACTAATTGTTCTCATCAACAAATCATTAAGAATCCTCAACTTTATCTGCCAATTTGCTGACATTATCAAAATGTGGAGCAAATGATTATATTACAAGCAGATTCTCTACTTACATGTTGTTTTGTGTGATAGACATATAACAATTTCAATGTGAGGAGGCCAAATCAACTGCTTTCCAGTTTCAAAATGGTGGTATGTCCAAAACAGCACAAAACAATTACTCACATACATCCAAGACAAAAATGGGGTGTGTGATATTGGCTGATGATTAATCTGATTTGGTCCACACACACTTACAATAAGGTATTACCTATTTATCAATATTCAGCACAGGTCAAACCTGACATTGGCTCCACACATTATCTCCATGTGGGGAATTGAACAAGGGCTATTGGCCTGAAGACCTAACACTTTAACCACTCTGCCACCTCAGTAGGACGGAAAGTCTACAAGGCTGAACAATGTGACTTCAAAAACTGATATTTCACTTGTACACAAATAAATAGATGTGTATTCTAAAACACATTCAAATCTTGCAGACTAATGAAAAATAAATCTTTTTATGACCCCATGTAACATACTCCCTATCAACATTAGAAGAAACTTTTTTTTACCTTCGTCTCAATACAGGCGACATCCTGTTTCTGCCTCCAAATCTCCGTGGTGATGGTGATCGTCTGAAGGGAGGGGAACGCCGCCGAGCTCTTGGGGAGTTGGATCTTCTCACATTCCGCTTCTGTCTCCCTTTATCTGAGAATATGGATTGGCCAGGGTTAGAACAACTACACCTTAGATATTTAACTTCCGATACATAACCATGTAACACATTTGACATCAAAGACTAAAATACCTAAGGAGAAAATCAATCTTAGCCTTGGAAGATTGCTATTTCACAACAGGGCAGGGTATCTTGTAAATAAATGCATGAACACCTTTGATTCATACCACCTAGACACAACCAATCAGGTCACACCACGGAACCAACTGATCATTATCTAAGTCAGCCTTTATAACAAGCTTCATTTTCCCGGTCACAAACGTTGATACTACTAATTTCCTTTATATGACATACTCATTAATGCGACATAATCAATTGCAACCAACCATGTCGGATAAGGGAAATTGACTGTAAAAAGCATTTGGGCGAGTTCCTTGAAAAGTTTGACCCACTTTGAAACATCTGTCTTAGTTAAAAAAAAATTGAATAATTTCAGCACAAGTTCAACAGGGGATGGCAGTGGCCAAAGCATTTTACCATGTTTTCGGAACACAGACATTGATTTTGTAAAACATTCTCTATTTCAACTATCGATATGTGCTGTAGTTCATATATATTTTAGCACAGAAAAGTAGTCTTGAATGGCAGGTGTGGAAACTAGACTTTGATATGGGCTGGTGGACAAGCTTGCCTCAGGAAGATGAACAACAGTGCATAATCTAATGTGAATTTCCCATAGTGAGATAATCAATGCAAGTACATAATTCTACACACACTTTCTAGAAACTTTCTAATTTGAAATGTTATTACAGACTAGATGAAAAAAGTGGTTACCTCTTTCATCCTCTGATGATGAAGATGAAGAGTCGGAGTCAGAGTTCTCTTCTGTGTCATGTTTGCGGTAGTGGCGGCGCTGTTGTACGCCCACCTTCCCACCAGAATCATTGCCATCGTCGTCACTGCCCTGAACAAGAGATTCAACTTGTGCACATGCAATGCAAAGCATACCATGAGACCACATCATGCAATTTAATCATTCTTCTCAATTTCTAAACACATCAGTGTCCAATACTAGCGATTACATACGTTATTGGCTTTGATTCACAATGTCACTTGTTGACAGCTTCCAGACATTATCAAGAAAGTTTCATTTCATTACCACACTGTTAAATACCCTGAACATAAACTAGCTCCTGCTGTATCTTTTAGGTTTACGACTTTACCTGAGACAATTACTCATTACCAGCTGCTTGAATAACTGAACAAATCAGTCCAGGAATTCTTTAAAGTATTCAAAATTCTTCTTCAGAGATAGCTTCTTCGACTAGCCATCATGGCTTGTGGCCACCTAGATACTCATTAGTCCTTTGAAACCTTTGGTAGCCTTGGAATAAAAGGCTAGCTTTATTGGGATCTACATGGTCTAAAGACAATTTGTAAATGTTTGCACATTTTTTTACAAAGTTGACATATCAAGGTGTATTTGAGGAATGCTGTATCACCTTTCCTGCCTTAGACTTCTGCTTGGACCTGGTGCGTGAATCTGAGCTTCCTGAGCTGTCAGAGTCTGAGCTGTCAGAGGGGCTGCGCCTAGTTCATGGAAGACATGCAGTTTTAATATCAAGTTTACATCATTTCTCAAAAGAACTACATGTCTAAATGAGCCAATATTCACTTCAATATAGTTGAGTGGGAGGAAGTTAATATTGTTCAATGACCTAGTCAAACTGAGCCATACAATGATGGCTTGTGAAGTGAGCAGGCCTGGACAAGATTAACAAGTAGTAATCCAACAGTAAATGTAGAACATGGTTTAAACCAAAATTAGAGGCTTTTTCAACAAACCAGTTTTTAGGCTGAACAATGTTTAAAGAGTAGCTTAATATGAATCAAATAACTGTTTACAAAGGACATAAGATATTATCATATCCTATGCAAAATTCATTTCAAGGCATTTTCACATTTAAAGCATGATAAAGACAAGATCTCAACCCGAGTCTGTCTTTGTATTTACATTTTGCATAAGGACGGACACAAAATTAACAAGGTCACAGGTGAAACCTGATTTTTCCTTGACAACAAACTAAGAACCAGCCTTACTGGTTACTTAAGCCATCGAAATGTCAGCTTATTGTCCGTTTTTTAAAAAAGCATCAGGTACTGGAGAGCTAGTCTCTTCATTGAGTTGGGCTTAACACTGTTTTGAACAGTATTACAGTTATATCACGGCTTGTGGGAGGAAAGCCTGAAGTGATAGACGTCTCAGACATGAAGCACTTTCAGGAAACCAACAAGCAGGGGCATGAGGCTGACAAACCTAGAAAAATAATCTGGGCCAACCGGGATTCAAACCCATGATCATAGATTTCTGATGTGCCCAAGGGATGCAACTGTGAATAGTGAACTTGTGGCGCCTCAAACAACTGGGCCATCTGTGCTCCCTGCTACTTTCTTTAATCTCCACAGGAATACATGCTTGAGACACAGCTAATGACTACCAACAGTTTGTTGTATACCTTCTCCTTGGGGCCTGCCTCTTGGTGACGGGACTCTTGGACCTCCGATGACGAGGAGAGCGATCCCTTCTCCGGGGAGAACTGGGTCTATGTCGAGATCGGGACCTAGATCTGGATCGCCTTCGACGAGGGGAGCGCCGGGGGGAACGTCGGGGAGATCGTCGAGGTGAATAGCGCCTAGGTGAGCGCCTTCTACGAGGAGAACGCGATCTATCACAAGAAAAAGGAAACATAAGGCAAGAGGACTAACCAAAGGTCCAAAGGTCCAAAGGCTTGCATAATCATTATAAACACAAATGACACATCACAAATCCGCAAACAATGAACCTATACCTGGATCTACTCCTCTTCCTTTTCCTTTCTGGTGTTCTACTGCGATGTCTCTTCTTTCTATCAGGGCTGCGAGATTTTGACCGAGATTTGTCACGACTCTTTTTGTCCGTCTTAGTGCTAGGTGATGCTGCCTTTTCAGGTTGATTTTCTTTGTTGTCATCCCTAAAGAAACCATTTCAATACACACAGACAGTAATAAACTGGAAACCTAAGTATCATGCTGAGGTTTGGTGACTTATGGACAGAATGTAAACACAGGACATAGCTTTTAGATTCTAAGAATAGTGCAGCAAAGTTTTTCAACACTGCTTTGAAAAAGGTGCATGTATTTCAATCATATTGCAGTGTGCAGGGGGAAAGCCTCAAGTTTTGCACTTTACTGATGCCCACTAACATGGTCTAGTGCTGAAAGATCAAGGGTCATAAAAAGGGCGAGTATTTACAAACCCGTGATCCTCAGATCCTAGCAGGTAAGGGACATAACTCCACATACCAAACTGCAAAGACCACTCAGCCACCAATGCACAATCCACTTATCCTGTTTGAGATGACAGAACAGTAGTGTTTCACAAAAGAGAGTGAAAGTTCAGTTAAGTGCCTCCTTGTACACTACATCCCAGTATGACAGCTTATACATAGTCAAAGGAAACCTCAAACATTTGTATGTGTAAATATGTGTATCACAAGACAGATCAATGATTATAACCCCGGACACTTTAGACCAATGACAAACAGATCCTGGTACAGCTCAGGGATGCAGTGAATTGCAGTGAAATAAAGGAAGTACAGAATGGATTCTCTGTTTAATCCGTTTTTTCATCATTCCTTATGGGCAGCATAATACACTCACTTCTTCTCTTCATCTTTCTTTACAGTGGTTCCATTTTCAGTTTTGACATCAGTTTTACTGCTGTCAGGATCCTCTTTCTTTGGTGATGGAGATCGTTTTGAGGAGGGAGATTCTTTTCTTGGTGTCTCTGACCTTGATTTATGTTTCCTGTCTGAAGGTGACCGTGACCTCCGCTTCTTTTCAGGTGATCTAGATTTACGTTTCCTGTCACTGGGCGTTCTGGACTTGGATCGTGTTCGTCTGGAAGAAAATAAAAAAACAAACATAATTCATCTACGGCGGTAACCTTCACCACATTCATGAACTCATGATTACCTATTGAACAGTCCTAACTAATGAAACTTACATTGTATGCATCATTGCATAAATCTTCTGACAGTCCTGTCTTCAAAGTCAATTACCCCAATCTTGTCAATGTATATTATTTCCAGTAGATCTTAGTGTTAAGTTATGGACTTTTATTTTTATTTTATAATTTTACAAAATTGAAAGACATTTACTGGACCCAGGATTCAGACTAGTGGCTGAAGCCTCATTCTGAAACGACAGACATATCACAATTCCACATACTCTCTTTGGCAACAACATTCTTCCTATTCCCCTGAATAACACTCACAATAGGACAATGCCAATCCCTATATTTGGACATGCTCCCATCAAAGAGTTTTTGTTTAGTGTTACTAAGGTCCCCAATAATCAAGCCACATCATGGTGGCCTGTATCTTGCCCCGATAAACCAGTGGTTCTTATTATCAGCAATGTCCCATGCCATATGGAGCACACGCAATCAACCAAGTAGCTGAGTCAATCCACCTGCTCCAAGAAACTGGGACATATTTTAACCTGGGTTTCCACACAGCCTACCAAGTGCATGAACCCTGTAGTCACAAGTATTTCAGATGTTTCAATCTTGAATAATGGACAGACACTGTGATTAACCAGTGGTTGATAACATGAGAAACAATCCACATTGTCAGGGTTACAATAACAGCATTATCACTATCCTCTGCCATGGGTCACATTAAAAATAAGTTTGTTCATATAGTACTGAATACAAACTCGTTTCCAGAGACACCTGCCTCAGTTACAGGTAAGTCCAACTTGTTTCCATGGAGAGAGGGGAAAATCAAATTTTGAAAAATTCCTTAATAGCAAAAGGTACCACATCAGACCTTGGTGAATACATGTACCAGGTTTGGATGTAAAGTATCAGAGTTTTCATGTTGTTCTCCAGAACCCAACCGCTTAAGACTAAGTCTGAATTGCTTCCATGGAAATCGAGAAAAATAAAAATGCCAAACATGCGCAAATTGCAAAAGGCACCACTTTAGGATCTGTTTGATATATCTGCCAATTCTTGTTGAAAAATATTGAATGTTTTTATAGTTATGCTCCGGAAATGAACTGACTGACTGACTGACTGACTGACTGACTGACTGACTGACTGACTGACTGACTGACTGACTGACTGACTGACTGACTGACTGACTGACTGACTGACTGACTGATAATAATGATGGTCATGCATCCTCCTTTGGTAGACTATCATACATCATGACAGATCCTCACTGGCCTGAATGCCCATGGGGAATCTTCTTGCTTTCAGACAAGCCTTGCCTGACCTACCTGCTGTCTCTGTCCTTCTTTTCACTCTTCTCTCTCTCCTTGGCCAGGGCCTCCTTGATCTGCTCCTCATGCTTCTTCAGACTTGTCTGGATTCGCTCCTGCTCAGCCTGAGGCAACAACACAACAGTAAACAGTAAAGTCTTCATTTGGTTAGTCACTTAACAGTGACAGAAGGAACTTTGAACAGTAAGTTGATACACACTGCTCTAAGCTCCTATCAGTCAATGGGAACAAAAGATGTCATTGCTTTGTGTCTTAATAATATGTTGCCATATGCATGTCCAACAATTGGAATAAAGTAAAGGACAAATTGACAAAATGTTATATCCACTTTGTAAGGACATTCACCCTGGTTTTGAGAGTCAGTGAGTTGGCCTAACTGTATTACAGTTTTATCATGGCTTGTCAGTAAGAAAGCAAGAGTTTAGCACCTTTGTACTGACAGACCAAAGATCAGAAGGGATTCAAGACCATGAACTGCACACCACAGCAGCTCGGGCTCTTACTTTCCACAGCTATCTGTGGCAAAGACAACTGAGCCTTCATTCACAATCCTGACCGCAATGAGACACGAGACAACTTACACACAGGGACAGCATTAATATGTCAACATGACACACAATGTAATATACACACAGAGGCAGCATTAACATGTCAACATGAGACACAAGACAACTGATACACAAGGACAGCATTAACATGTCAACATGAGACACGAGACAACTGATACACAAGGACAGCATTAACATGTCAACATGAGACACAAGGCAACTGATAGACAAGGACAGCGTCAACATGAGACACAAGGCAACTTACACACAGAGGCAGCATTAACATGTCAACATGAGACACAAGGCAACTTACACACAGAGGCAGCATTAACATGTCAACATGAGACACAAGGCAACTGATACACAAGGACAGCATTAACATGTCAACATGAGACACAAGGCAACTTACACACAGAGGCAGCATTAACATGTCAACATGAGACACAAGGCAACTTACACACAGAGGCAGCATTAACATGTCAACATGAGACACAAGGCAACTTACACACAGAGGCAGCATTAACATGTCAACATGAGACACAAGGCAACTTACACACAGAGGCAGCATTAACATGTCAACATGAGACATGAGAACATACACACAGAGGCAGCATTACCTGTCTTCTCTTGATTTCTTCTTTCTTTTGTTCAAGGAATGCAGTGGGAATGCCACCAACATTCTCTTGTGCGCTACAGAGAAGGTCCCAAAGTTCTGACATGAAGATGCGAGCGTTCTTGGGGTTGAGGAAGCCAGTGAGGTTAATCTGCATCTCCCTAGGGTCCGGCATCTGCAGATACATGGTGGGAAGAACACTTGCATAAATAACTGTCCAGCCATTACCCTACCTCCAGCATACAGGGATGTGTTGTGTACTGACACTACGTAAGCAATAGGTATTGTGTATGCCAGAGTTAAATGCTTATATCTAAAACCCATACTCATTCCTGGGAAGAATGTGGCTACATGGTTTCTTTTATAAACCTTCTGAAAAACTTTACCTCTGTATATCATGCAAATAAAATACATTAAAAGATTACATAGTGAAGGTTATATTCCAGTATCTTGTACATCCCAACTACCACTACAATCAAACATGTTGAAATAACAGTACTCCTACTTGCATGACCACTCAGTCATCATGGAAACAGTTCATTATCTGAGGAAATATTTGAAGTTAAAGACCACAATGGAACTTTATGCTAATTATTTTGCCAACATCATCTGTTCTACCAGAACCTTATTTAACCAAAACTATGTCAAACATCTTGACAGTCGCAGTAGATGAATAAGGTTCTAGTATTTTACATCCTTAAGACAACAAATTTCTTATTCTACTATCAGATTTCATAAATTTTTGGTCCTAAATGAGATGGGTTTGAGATACTGTCCACCTTGCTAAGAGAGATTTCTTTGCTTCCTAGATCATATAGATTATAAATTTATTGTCATGCATTACTAACAAGCAACCACACAACATCTTCCACTTTCCAAACGATGGTATTGTGACACTATTGGCTTTCCCAGTACAATACTTGACAATGTTAAATTTTAAGTTGGCTGTCAACAGTAGCAGATCCGAATGTGCTGATCCGCGCTCCAAGATGGCTGCCTAGAAGAAATCAACATGAAAACAGTTCTTACATGCCTGAATAAATACTCATGGAATACAATTTATTTTGAAATTGGATTTACTGAGGACATGTTACATGATATTTACGATAAGCTGAGATTTGAACATATTTGTCAAACTTCCATGAATTCAGATGACTTTGTAAACTTGACTACCTTCCAATGTGTATAGGGAAGCTCAAAGGCAAGGGATTACAGAGACAAACATGTGTACATGTAGAAAGACTTTTGAAAACTTTGACAGAAATAAAATACAAACCCTGTTGTGCAAGAGCCACCTTTGCGATGGAGCATCATCGCGAGGATCAAGGGTATTTTGGTTGGTCCTGATAACTATGTAAAGCTATGGAATAACTGTACCCTGCAAGATCATCTCTTGGCTTGTCACTGATAGCTCGCAGACGAGAAATTATGATCTTCTCTAATAGCGGAAGGAAACAGTCAAGAGTAAGTAAATCGCACAACTCTTTCGTCTACACAACTAAGCACAACAACACATACATTTTGTACAACTGTTTTTTTGTTTAGCTTGGATAAAATAATAATATACAATCTATTCTTAAGTTCAAAACTGTTGGAAATTTGACAAAGAAATGTGGAAAGCGTCACTAGGCATTGTGTGCCCTGATTATGATAACTATATGGGTTGTGGTTAGATATGAATTATCACTGATTTAAGTCTGATCACATATATTCATGTTCAAAGTATTCCTAGACAAAGAAGAAAATGCTCATGCAGTAAATAGCATGTTGGATGGGATGAAAATTACCATAACAAAAACACCTCTCACCCTTTCTTCTAACTGATTATATACAAATTCAACGATAACGTCATCTTCTAGGCCTAGAAGCTCGGTGATTCGTTTAGCTATCCATGGCTTCAGTGTGTCCACATTCACCTTCGTCATGTCCACCTATAGAATGAAAGTTGAATCAAATGTTAGTAATGTTAGAAGTTATACATTTACAAACACAAGGAACATGTAAATACCAACATGGCCATGAAGACAAAAGGAGACATTAAATGTTAAATGCAATGAAACAATGAATCAGAATAGAAAAAAAGATTTGCCTCATTTTCCAATTGCAGTAACAAGCCTCATGTCAACTGATATAATTCGTAATTTTCTTTATGATCCAAGAACCTGTATGTAATCATGAAACTTAATCATATGTTCAACATTGATCTCCTTTCTTTATTTCGTTACTCACCTTTTTCTCCAAAGATTCTGCAAATTTCATGGATTTCATCAATTTTTTCTTTTTGTCTGCAAAACGGTTGTCCTGCTCGGCACTGGTGCCCTGAAACATATTAAAACAAATGATTAAATAGAAAACTAGGTCATGTAATTCTCAACCAGTCAGCCAACTTACTAAATACAAAGAAATATTACCAGTGTTGGGTTTCAGATTTGTGGCTGCTGTTTCAAGATTATTATCTAGTACGTAATAACCAAGAAAATTATGGGTAACTTAACAAAATATTTTCAGCATTAGATAAGTGTTTTTTTAAATCAACCATGTTATTGTTAAGCACTCAATATGTATCAGCAATATCTGTGTGTGAGTATCAGCAAGCCAAATTAAAATTTCATCATAGGTATAAGTAAGCAAATGAATAAATATACTTGATTACGGTTGTCTACAGTTCAGCCAATATTTTTTTTTAATGAATCAAGAAAATGATGTAAATGGGAAAATGAATTTATTTTGTAAAAGAGCCTGTTTGTACGGGTTGACTATAACCTATAAAAAAATAAGCTCTAAATGGTCCTTGTGATATTTGACAATGTGGCCTTTAACGACCTTCATCGCTATATAATTTCCAACAATATCCAACAGTCCTTGAAAGTAGAAGACATATGGACATACTGCAGAGAGTTAATCTAATTAACCAAAACTCATCACAGGTCCAATCACAAATAGTTAGTGCTTGTTTACTTAGTGATCACCACCCTATTGATTATGTTCATGTGCATGCAAGGTTGTAACTGTTCCAGCAAAATTTAATAGAAATTAATTTAGTGGAGGTTAGAAAGATACCCCTAACTCACAACTGACCATATGGTCGTAAATGGTACTTAACCCTAAGGAATGTTTGATTGGCAAGGGCCAGGTACCATACAAGGACCATGAAGAAGTGTTTAATGATCATTCTACCATGAATTTGGAATTTACCGGATTCTGATTGGTCAATCAGAGGCTATTAAATCACAATAAACCCCCTCTGATTGAAACAGCTGGTTTGACGGCCGCATCACCGCCTAAGCTAATAATCATAGAATAGTACTATTTTCAGTCATTGTCGGTAGGCATATTTAAATAACTATATCTACAATTACAGGTTACAAAATGCACAGATGAGGTTACTACAATATTCAAAGGATGTGTGGCAATACATTTCGTGCAGAAAAACACGACAAATCAACAAAGGGAATGTATTTATGTTTTAGAGACAACAGAGAGCTTGAAATATTGGTGCTTTTCCATATACGACTGTGATGCCATATCTTTTGCGTCACAATGAGAGATATGACGTCATAATGGTGACGTGCGATGTAGAGCGAAAGCCTTGCAAAGCTTGCTTTGTTTTCTTTAGGGATGCCCACCTCATGTTAGCTAACCAGGTTGCCTTGCTTATATGCTTTCAATGCCTGTCATATGTTCGAGTGAAGTATTACGGTGAAAACAAACTGCTTGAGTATATTCAGCACCATATTTTGTTCGTTGATTCCGTAATTCAGATCGATAACCCACTCAAAACACTGAACTCAACCCATGCAGCTTCACTCAGTATATTTGCTGACACCGAAGAGTTCGCGTTTTATTTAGTCATGGTAGAATGGAGATAAACATACTGTGTTTTCAATGTAGAGCTAGGTTACCTGTAGATTTAACCACGCTAAATTTAACATTTGAAAGCTCATGCTGCCTTTTCGGTTCCAAATTCAATTTAGCAGGGTTAAGTCTACAGGTAACCTAGCTTTACATTGAAAACACAGTATGTTTATCTCCTAATTAACAGGTCTACCAAAGAAAAAAACTACCGTGTGTTCAAACTCAAAAATGTGTATGCTCTAAATGTGTATGCTATTTTGCACACTAAAATATAGACTATTCAGAAAACAATGAGTAAGCAGCAGCGGGATTGCACTCGTCATTATCTGAACCCATTGCTGTTGACTCGTCCTCAACCCAGCGAACAGTTTTACTTATTGTGCAAAATCTACTCATATTTCTGCCAGTTGATATTTTAGTGTGTAAAATAGACAAATAGCATCCACATTTCTATGTTTTTCTGTATACAGGCATCTGTATTGCTATACCTATCAGGATATATTGGGGAGTTATAATATTTGACAATGATTTACACTAAAATTCTATGCAGACCCTATTTTCCACATCATTATTTTAAAAGTAAATATTACGATGTCAAGTCTGCATGGTCAGTCGCCATAACCGTGAAAAAAAAATCACTCCCGCAAATGCACCAAATGTCAATCATTTGTGAGTGAATTTCTGTGGAGTATTGAGGTTAAACGATACAAATAACGAAATTAGTCATATATCTTTTACCAAACATACCAGAGCGCAGAAAACAAATGGCAATGTACATCATTTGAGAAGTTAATTGCAGCATGTCTATAACACTGTGCAGTCCTAGTTATCGTATGGCATTTTGTAGCTGGTTTTTGTGGTCCAAATAGAATTATAATGGATTCGGGCTTTGGACTTGTGGCTAATGTCGCAGTGACATTAGTTCTTTGGTAGGCTTGATAAAGGGGATTCAGGGAATAAGGGTAGCTATGGGATAATCTACTCTAAAACAACTAATCCTCTCTTTAGGATCAAAGAGGTAGATGAGATCAGTTATCGAGAGCCACATCCGCAAAAGGAGACAATTAGCTCTTTCAGCAGCACCTAGCCAACTGTGGACCTGCTTAGTCTTTTACACCAATGTGTGATTGCATTTGTATTTGAAAATTGTTTTTAGTTTTTACATTCTTCAGCAATTACAGAACCTGTGAATGATACAAAATTGCTACATTAACCTACATATCAAATGTGCAAATGACCTTAATAAGCAAGCATTGTTGCAGTCATGGTCTTGATTCAAGCCATCCTGTGACTTGAGTTCCCGTGAAACTCTTTGGTAACATCAAGTATCTGCAATTCTCCAACGAGATTGGTCAAATCACAGCAGGTACTGAATACTCTTGGCTAAAGGGAGACAGAGGTCGTCATCATTACGTGTTCACCCCGAACAGAAAGCTAAAACTGCAACATTCCTGAATCCTCGCCTGCATATGGGACACATTTACTGTTCAAAATGCGCAAATCAACAAAAATGGACCAAAATTGTCCCAAATGTTTGCTCTATGATGATATAAAGGACACGATTGAAGTAATTTTATTGTGATTTACTCAGCTGCATTCTAAATAACGCTTATTTTCTACCTTGAAAAACCCTGCATCCGACATGGTGGCTTCTACTTCTCGCAAGTTATCGGACAGCACGTGAGCGGAAAAGGAAATAGGTGTCCGGAAACGGAAGCGGGAAATTCAAAATGGCGAAGAGCGTCTGCACCATTTTCGAGATTAGCACCTGTCTTGTTCTCATGGCTTATTTCATGTGGTCATTGTACTCTGCTTGGACAAATGGCTTACTCACGACCAGTTTTGTGCTTTGGAATCATTGTTCTTTTATGTCAAACTCTTGCGGCGTCGGATAACATACCAGATGACAAAAAGCTAGCAGACGACACTCTTGTTGAGGATGAGCTTGAGGTGATACATCTTGCAGCACAACAAAAACAGCCATATGTTTTAATCAAATTTTAGTGTGGTAAACCTGATTTAAGTTCATCTGCATATTACGCCAATCCAAATGTTGTGATTTGCTCAAAAGATTTAGACTAAATGATAATGGTATAGGGCAGAAGTTTAATTTTGAAAAGTGCCTTTCTCGGGAAATAAATATTACCACAGGCAGTTCAGTGGGCACGAAACACGTTGTCCACTTCTTTATCAGTCAGACTTGTGGTGGATAGGTTCTGTGCATTGGTCTTCAATGTACTTGATAAGAATAATGCTTTATTCTGACAACAATCAGCTGATTCCTACCTCATTTTGTTTGCTACTCTATTTCTTATTGGAGTGAGTGAGTGAGTGAGTTTGATTTTACACTGCTTTTAGCAATATTCCAGCAATATCACGGCATGGGACACCAGAAATGGGCTTCACACATTGTACCCATGTCGGGAATCGAACCCGGGTCTTCGGCGTGACAAGCGAACGCTTTAACCACTAGGCTACCCAACAGCCCTTCGAGCCTGGAGTGAATCAGTGATCATGTGGACAGTGGTTATGATTGATGGATGAAATAACAGACACCCATAATTGCTCTTTGTACGCTATAGGTACAATTTTATACGCTATAGGTACAAAGAATATTAAATATTGTGCGTCCCTCATGATGCAGTATATTCTTTTTCTGCGTCCTTTCTCTACATTTGTGCATACCGGACACAAATTTGTGCGTCTCGTATGATCCTGGGGTAGTATGACTTTTGGAGTACATTGTCTTTGGATGTGTTAAACACAAAGATTATGAGATAAGTCAAACTTTTACTCAGGTCTCTATGAGTTTGACACATCAGTTTTCAATATTCCCTGTCTTTTTAGTGTTACAATCTATAAGAAAGTAACTTTGAGTTTGTTGAATGAATCAGTAGCTGTCCCTGGGTAGATAAGGAGAGTAAGATAAGTCCTATTTTAAGTGATAGGAACTCTCTAGTAGATTACAGAGTATATGTGCACGTATTTGTGTCTCATATTAATTTGGATATTTTTCTTTAGGAAATATTCTCCACATATGAAATGATTGTGTAGGTATATGAAGAATAAATTTGCCATATTTTTCCAGTCAAATGATTCCGATTGATGTGAATACTTATTAGTCAAGTGAACCGCTACCTGCAAAAATGATAGGTATAAGGTACCCATATCAATGTTGAAATAAAAGGGTTTCGGGGTTCCTTGAGTTTGTCTGGTGTAGTATGTAATTTTCGGGACCTCCTAATTTATTAACCTTCATTAGGATTATGACAAGGACCTCTTGGCTTTTGTACTTAATTTTGAACACTGCATATTGCTTAGAAATAGAGGATCATTTGATTTTGCAGGGGTAAATGACGTAGAACCCCTATCAGTCTGAATCACAGTATTCACATACATGATAATATTTGAAAATAGTTCAGCAATGATTGGAACATGACGGTACACAACTTTATCCTCTAGTTTGAAGAGTAAGTCTAGTAACAACTAACAATTGTTTAGGTTTCCAATGTACACCTCATCAGGGTTAGAAACTAACAGTTTTTGTCCACTAGTCCTTATAATGATAACATATAGCAAAACCCTTAGAAAGGGCTAATTTGTGACAATTTCTAATGCTGCTCATAATTATCCATATGTTGAGACTATATCTTGTGTAAAAGATTTCGGACATAATCAGACCGTACTGTTTGAAATAAATAGGTAAGAGGCAGTGCACTGAACCATTAGTTTGTTGTTTTAAGCTCTAGAAGGTTTGGCAAGTAGATGTTTTGAGAGGATACCACTTAAAAAGAAGATAGAATTAGGATGTTAGCCTCAGTCTATTTTGGCATAGACTAACATGAATACATACTTCACAAACTTATACTTTGTAGGGACAAGTATTGCCAGTGCAAAATGTAATAAATTATGATACATAGTGACTTTTATATTGTTATATACTTTATACTGAAACACAAGCATGTGTCAACTGTCAAGTCAGTTTCTTTCCGCCAAACCAGCAGGGTAGGATTGTATCATGGATAATATCTTAATGGACACAATTTTTCAAGTAGCTGATGGATAAATATGTTGGTGTGTCACTAACACATGATTCTGCAATTACACAGGCACCAAGTGGAGAGAATGACGAAATATTGCCAGACTTGGATGAAATTGAAGGGGACAATGATTGGAATCCTAATGGAGTGCTTCTGACAGACAACCCAGCTGATTGGCCAGGTCATCTGAAGAGCTTTGGTTCTGAGGGCAGATATCGCAATGTTGGCATCTACAAGAACTTTCCAAAGCCAGAACTGTTTTTCAGTGACAATGTTGCTCCATACATACCTTTAGTTATGCGCAATGCTTCAATGACAAATGATGCTTTTGGACTTTGGAAAAATGACAGCTACTTTCTTGGTTTGCCTCAAGCGATCACATACAAAATGCCTCTTACCCCTACAGCTAACATAAGTTTTAAGGAGTTCATCCAGAGGTACAAAAAAGAGAAGCTGGTATTTAATGATGAAGTGCCTTTTTTCCTTGGGTTAGTATTATTATCGTATCACTGCCTTATTTTGATGTATTCAATGATATATACTTCATTCCATTAAAATTGCAATTTGATAATAAATATCCCATTTAGAGAAGAATTGTGAAAACATTATCTTATGTTTTAGGGACAACGTGCTAATGCCATTACCTTTGTTGTGTGAATCTGTGATCAGCAACCTTTCAAATCATGTGAGTAAAACCATATACGTATTTAAACTTACAAAGGCCATATTTATCAATAACAAACATTACCATGATTACAGTACCCAAAACCTTTCTTTTGTATTGTTTTTCATGTTAATGAAGAAAATATTACATAATCTAATATTAATGAAATAGAAATTAGTTCTCTGGACAGGTTTTCAACATTTTTGTACACCTGATGAGGACAAGGCTGTATTTTTTTTCATTTAACACCAAACAGAAAAAAACAATGCTAAGTACAGGTATATGCCATTGTCTTGTACACAGGTTTTGTTCATTGCTGGTGAAGATCGGCAGACCCCTATTGTACAGAGAAGTGTGGACACTATGCGTTGTGTGTATGATGGAAAACAGGACATCACTTTAGTCAGTCAGCTGGACTTTGGTAACAAGGTTAGTTGAAGTTATCATTTCTTTCGAGCCTGGGTTCATGATTGTCTGTTTTCTACATACCCGGAAATGTATTAGCCTGATTTGTAAAAGAGATTACATCACTGTTGTACAGATGCCCACTGAGTATGGATCAGTAGACGTGAGTGAGGTAGACTATGTCAAGTACCCAACCCTCAGAGAGTTGGAGTATCACAAGGCATCCCTCACTGCTGGAGACTGTATCTTCATCCCAACCAAGTGGTGAGAATGCTGTTCATGATATCTGACTTAATCAAAGCAACTTTCATAAGAATTGTCTCTGGGATGGCAGATATTACCCATGCCCAGAATATAAACAGGGTTGACCCCAGTACTGTGTATGTTGCACCATGGAAGGTGAGGTGAGGTGAAATTGGGTTTAACGTCGCGTCCAAGATTATTGCACTTATATAGCGACGTGCATGCACGTGTATGTGTGTGTGTGGCTGCTTGTACTAGTCCGGACTGATGCCGATTTATAGTGCTAGCTCACTGAGATACTATGCCGCAGTTTAACATGAATACCCCTCTCAGACACAGTATACTGACTCCGAGCCGACCAGTCCTTGTTTTAGCCCCTTAATGCCGAGCGCCAGAGAGGGTAACAACAAGTACAATCTTTTAACGTCTTTTTGTATGACGCGGCCCGGGATCGAACCCTGGACCTTCCGCTCTCCGGGCGGACGCTCTACCACAAGACCACGGAGGCGGTCGCACCATGGAAGGACCTTCATGGCATAGAAATAGACATAATTATGCAATAAACTCTGGTTGTAGATTGATTCTGTGTATTATGCCACTCATGTGTTTTGGTTTTTGTATTTCCTGAAAAGGCTAGATAAGGGAAGGGGCCCTGTTTGACAAAGCAGCCTTAGGGCTACAACTATTGTAATTCTTAACAAACAATTGCACAATAAAAGAAAAGTTTGGACAAACAAGTAATATGTGATCATTCATATAATTACCATATCATATATACTAATATAATAATTACACAGCCATTGAAGAAATATTTTTTCTGTTTCAAGATAAAAAGGAAATTCAAAAGCATCAATAATTTACCAGTTTGTGTGTAGCATGGTGCTTACACTATTCTGGTGTTGATGACTGATTTTGGTCCCCATAACACTCTCACTGCTATTCATGTGATGGTGAACAGTTGTTGTAGCACAGCGCTAAAGCTAGGGATTGTATTGGATGTTTAAAGTGTATCACAATATTTTACAATGAACAAGGCTGTATTGCAATACATATCACGATATATTGTATAATTCTAAGTGTTGAATTCAGAAGCAATTTGAAACATCAATGCATGAGTTGTTTTTCATTAATGGAAAAAACAAGATGCTGCTACAACATTATGTTTATTCATTCAATAAATACACATGGATGCACACTCTGGGACAGTGATGAATTGGCATTACACCACTGCCACAGACAAACTCTAGAATGCGAACTTGCATTACGGATACATTTCAAAGGTACTGTATTTGGCAAGTGTATAACATTAAACAGATTAATGATAAAAATCACTATTTCAAATCACCCCATGTACCGAGCATTAAAAAATGATATCGTGATACGTATCGTGGAAAGAATGAACCTCAATTTACCGATATACCAGTAACACCCTACACCCTTTGCTTTCACTATTATAGTGTAGTGTTGGCACCCTCCCTGCTAATCATGTGATGGTGAAGTGTTTTTATATTCTAGTGTAGTTTTGTGAAGATGTTGTTTGTGTGCAGGTACTGGCAGGTGAACTCGCAGGATAGCAGCAAGTCTGTGGACATCCTTTGGTACCACAAGGTGAAGCACGTTGAGACAACAGAGTGTATGGCTCTTGCACTGGAACCCAGCATAGCCAAAGTTCACTTTGCAGATCAGACATCATGGACTGCTGCTAGAAAGGATATAGCACTGTAAGATTAAATTCTGAAACGTTAAAAAAATCAGTGCTGCATATTATCAGGACCATGGCCATTGACCCCGGAAAACTACATGGGAACCTTCATTATTAAGCACTGTAGGTTCCATAAAAATTTATTTTTGGAAACCTGTATCCGTGTGGACCTGGTTTAGAGTAAGTTCGCAACACCACATTGGCGATCACAAAACATGATGACTATATTGGATTGCTTTTTCAGGCTCTGTGAAATATTAAGTGTTGTACCCAGATAGAATGGGTCTTTGTTCTTAATTTCAGTCATGAGTGTGACTGGTCAAGATTCCATTTTTGACAGGCCACAATGCAGAATGTCAAATAACATTCACATCATTTCAACCCAATGACACTAGTACCCACAAGTATTCAAATGTATCTGAAGATCTGCGTTCGACGTTTTATTCACTGGTGAAGAAGGTGACATTAGAGATAAGAGTTACATATGTACACAAAGGGAAATAATGTTGTGATATTTATATGTCTTTAAATCTTATTTTCTCAGAGTAGCATATAGCATGTGTCTAGAGATGTTTTTAAGGAAATATATCCTGCAGGTTTTAGAGCAATGTTCATGTCAAGGTGAACAGTGCCTTGTAAACAGCTTATGTCTGTTGCAGTCACTATTTCTCCTCCTATCTGGTGATCAACAGCAGCCTCACATATGGGTCATTTGCAGCAGCAGTAATCAAAGATAGGAAACTTTTCAAAGACATGACAAATTGGACTGATGAATATGATGAAATAACACATCAGGTGAGCCAACTTCAAATGTATATTGACCAACTTGATCAGCACAGTTGATTTACAGTCCAACTTGTAATGATCTTGGATGTGTCGAATTCCTGCTTGTCTCAAACTTATTTTGGAGTCCCAAGTTTCCAAATTAGCTTAAATTTCCCTAATGTCTTGAACCCCGGATAACTCGAACTTTTTTCCAGGTCCCCATGAGTTCAACACAACTAACTTTGACTGTATATTCAACAAATCAATGCAGCACTTCTGAATTTTGTATATTTTGAGACCAGTAGGAACGGATGCTGATTTGGGGGAATTTTTTCATCTTCTCAACAATATTTCCTCATAGTTATTTGAGTCTTGTTTGCTGGTTTGTATATGCCAGTTTGTGTCATAGAGCCCTTTTGTGTTATGATTTCCATAGCCTGTAATACCATTACCAAGTGTTTTTACATGCTGATATCATATAAAGGCTTAACAGTTTTGTCCTAAGTTACCTTTGCTTTGTCAAGTTGCATGTCTCATTTGTAAGTCCCCCCTTTCATGTGTTAATTCTTGTGTCCAGGGGTGGTTCAGTGGTTTTAAGCATCACAATACACTGCAGAATTGCCTGCATCCCTTAGTAGTGCAAATATTTACTGTGTAAATGTCAGATTCCCGTGATTATGATCCTTGGCCCCATGCTCATGGTTATCATCAAAGTGACCTCTTTCACTTGCTTCACTTTGGGACTTCCTCTCACATTAAGGTCACACTCTTAGGAATGACTAACATAAATATGCTGTTCAATGTGGTGTCACTCAGTGTTGTGCTGCTATGCTTATGGCAGCAGTGCATGTTATTGTCATACCCTTTCATCATTTTATACCTGCTATATAAAAATATGTTATTTTGTACCATGGGCATGTTGACTTTTTGCAGCTGTTTCATCTGCTGGACATCAACAAGGACAAGAAATTTAGTCTTGATGATTTGGAGACATTAACACCTAAGGTTAGCAATTGTTCATTTTAATCGTGTGATTTATGATCAGATTCTTGAAAGATGATGTATGGGTTTAAAGGGAAACAACACTCCAAGATTGAAGTCTTGAAATATGGATGGGTATTTTCTTTACCGGAAATACCAATTATCTGTACGCACATTTTCTACCAATCTTTCAGTGATTCGGTTAAGAAAATACACTCTAAATATAACTTCAAAGAATTTTGATTTAATGATCGGATGAATAGTATCTGAGACTATTATTTTTCAGATATCAAATATTCCAACATCAAGCATATATGTGTGAAATAATAATAACCATAACCGCAGCACTTTGGAACAACACATTGCTATTATGGGATGACACCATTTAAGGTCTCCTGTGTTCTTGCTTCAGCAAATGAATGAAAACAAAATGCAAATATTGTAATTACAACCGACAAAAGATATATGTATAATATCAGGCAGTAACCTTGTTCCAGGAATGTATCTGCAGATAGCCACATGAAGGAACAATACCCATATATCTGAAGCTGTACAAAGAACGTGTCTGATGTCATGTGTCTTTGTAACAATCTAATATTTGAAAATATATTTAGCGTTTCGGGATATTATGACCCATGTTTATTCCTCAACTGACCATGTAAGTTTGTTTCAGGTGTTTCACATAGGTGTCATATAAGTCTCATTGGTCAGCTGAGATAGCACACATGACAACTATGTTCATGAAGTCCATGGTTGTTTAAAAAAATCCATAGAGTTTGATAACAATGAACAATCAACATATTATCGCCTAATCCTTTGAACAAAGTATGTTGTTTTTACATCGACACTTTACGCCCAGATTTGGGTGTATTCCATCTGTTTTAGTAAATCTACATATTTAAACACTTAATTTTGACAAATCCACTGTGCGAGATAACAGTGATTAATGAGTCAACATATAATAGGTAAATCCTTTGATCAATGTTTTTTGCAACTCTACTATCCATTCCTCTCTTGCTGTGCTGCATATTACATAACATGTCTTTGTCAGGTAATCTGAGTAGTCTCACTATTTATACCTGTAATAAAGTCATTAACTGAGCATCAAGTGAATGACAACAAATACACAGGTAGAGTGTTATACATGTACCATGAAACATGGATGACAAGAAGGGAGTAGTAGTTATTGTATTTGATGCAATTTGCCTGAAAAATATCAGTCGTTGCTGTTGAGTATATGAACTGAATTTCATTGTAAGAAAAATAACACGTACACATATTTTCTGAATACCAAATTATATAATAATTGTACATAAACATTTACACACGCAGATGCATTTGCAAAGTGAAATGTTATAGTAAGCATCATCCACTCAAATGCCAGGATTCAAGGGGATTACCCCTTGCTGTCAACGAGGTTTTCAGTTGGCAACTTGCTGGTCAGAAGCCCAGTTTGTTGGGTTGCTGGTATAATGGCTTCTGGCGAATTAAAATGGTGCCAGCTAGAGGACTGAAAGTTGGAGTGTTAAACATTGGCAATTGATAACAAAACATTTTTATGTTTGAATCTTTCAAATATCAATTTTGGTCTAAAAGTTTTCAAAACATTGCAGATTCACATGTTGTTTTACATTTGACATTGCTTTATTTAGAAATTCAGATTATTCCAAAATGTGAACAAAAAGCAAGATATCTGTATCGGCCAATATTAACCATGCACCAAAGTTATGTGTAATGAGGAATAGAATAACTGCCAGTACTGGTTATTTGACAATATACAACATTCTTGTCATGAAACGTGTGAATGATGTGGGGTTTCCAGCATATGGATGATTTGCGTGGTCACCTGGAGGACCAGATAGCAGACTACGAGGATGTAATGAAGGACCAGCAGCTGGAGCTTCAGGAAGACCAGGCTGCAGCAACACAGGCTGCCAAAGACCAAATCACAGCACCGCTGTCCCCAGATAGTGTACCAATTGTGAGTTCTATGTGTTCAGGGACTGTTGAATAATAATGTAACAGTACAGAGACTGTTGGCTGCAGTGTACCCTATGGGGATAGTGTGTCAACACTGGCATTGTGAATTGTTGCTTATAATATCAATCTGTAGATTGTCTGGCCTAGACTCAATTATTTACAGGCTGCCATCATATAGCTGGAATATTGCTGAGGCAGCGTAAGACAAGAAACAATGAATTATAATGTAGATGTGATTACATGGTATTTTTTATGATAATTCATTTGCTTAGGTTAATTTGTATCATTGGTTTGGGGCTTTATTGCAAGGGGATAAAGCTCATGACCTTGCATGCATTGAAAGGCTTTACGGATGTTTGCATGGTTTCATAATCATTGTGGGACTCAAACTGTATGGGAGTGTTTGAGTGACATAATGTAATCCATCACTGATATGAAGAGTAAAGCCAAGAGTCACAGATACCTTGTTATCTATCAAACAAGGAGCAGTTAATTCCCATTTTACCTGATTGATGATCGCAAATGTGAATGGGAGAAATGCTGCAAAGTTCTTTAAACTACGATGTCACTTTAATATAAGTGAGATGTCTGAAAATCTTAGAAACATTTATTAAGGAAGGAGCTAGTACACATCTGGTAGCTGGTAAAATGACATGGATCGATAACATGGATTATTGCTCATAATTTCAGTCACTAGTTTCCCTGTGCCTGGTATTAACTGTTTGTCAAGACGTAGCTGGAATATTGCTGACTGTGACATTAAAACACTCGCTCACTTCTGTGGGCAGGTCCAAAAATAGGCTACATGTCTGATTTGTTTCGAAGATAAAGCCGGGGCAGGACCCAAAAGAGGCAGTGGAGAACTACATCAACAACTACCTGAAGGTGCTGGAGGAAGTCATCCAGGAAAGTATGTCCGAGCTGTCTGTCACAGGCAAAGTCCCCGACTTCAAGAAGAAGTTAGAGACTCGACAGGCACAAATAGGTATGCAAGGCTCGTTAGGCCTTCAGCTGTTTTGGTATATTTCTGGCTGCAGTGTTGAAGTATAAGTTAAGATATGTGAAGTCCACAATGTTGGGACAAGGAGTGTGACCTCCACAGGGAGTTATCTTGGACTCCAAACTATTTGCCCTTGGCTGGCAAACTGGGAAAATATTTAAAGGTTATTTTAGGTTCTTATTTTCTCAATTGCAGAGCATTTTAACATTGTATTTTAGAATTTCATTCAATGTAATAATGAAAAATTAAGCATTAAAGCGTTGTCCTCTTTACATGCCATCACATTAGTTGTAACTATATTAACATGAATTAGGAATTTTTTTATTCCTGTTTGAGAGTTTTAACTAATATTTGTCACAGACTTGGGACCAAATATCTGCCGCTGAACAGGTCTAGATAAATCCCTTAGGATCATTAAAATGTAATATTTTGGGACTTTGATTAAACATATCTGAATCTGATTTTAAGCATCCAGTGACATTTGGATTCAGAATGTATGATTCATTTTCAGATGGATCTCAACCATTTGTCCCCAAAGAGAGCATGCCCACCCAAGATGATCACAAGACAGCTCGAGAAGAAGCTAAGGCAAAAATAAAAGCACAACAGGAAAAGAGTGAGGGATTTTAAGACAAAAGATCTTTGTTGAATGACTATCTCAAACCACGTAATAATCTCACATGCTTTTGTTGACGAAAAGCAGTGGCCAGGTTCTTCTTGAGTTCAATGACAATTCATGTAGTTCTTGTTTTAATTAACTTTTAGTAGCTTGCAATTCTTACTGACACAGACACATGTATACATGCTTTCTAAATACCAGGTTGTGTTGATGAATATGATGTTATGTGGTTACAGAAAAATCTTCTGATGGAGAAGATGGAGCTTCTGAATTTTCTGACACTGAGACCTACCCTGTGGTGGATGACTCAGTTGTTGAGGAGATACAGGCAGATGATGATGAGGAAGTCCAGGAGAAACCCAAGCCTGATTCTAAACCAAAGCCAGGAAAACCAAGTTCAGAAAGACAATCTAAATCTCAGGGTGGTAAATCGGAAAAGGACAAGAAGAGCACTGATTCAAAAAAGACCAAGACTAAAGAAGGAAAGAAGGATAAGGCTAGAAAGAAGGGAAAGAAAGATGAGCTTTAGAGGAATGTCAAACTTTTAGGTAGAGAAGGGTATCATTTACATCTCATAGATGGGTAGTACCATGTATGGTTTGACTGATTTTCATGGTTTGATTATGAAGCAAAAACTAAAAAGCTAATCATCTTCACACATATAATATTAAACTTCAGTATCTTCCTTCTACTTTAGATGCATGTCTTTCTTTAATTGAAGTTGTATGATATGGAGAGGAAATAATAACAATGTTATGATTGTTTTTTTAGTAGTATTTTTTTCCTGCAAGAGGGAAATGAAATCCTGAAAAAGAAACTGAACCTTATAAAAGCTAACAGTTCATTGTTGTGTTGGAACTGCTCTATTTCACTGCATATATATGATTTTGACAAAACATATTACTGCTGTGTTAATTTAAACGAGACTAGGCTCTGGAAATTGGCAGTCACAGCAGCCTTGATTCAAGTCGTTCCAACACCACTTTGGTTATCTGCTAACACCAGTGTCATAATGTATGTCAAACTAGCAGTTAATTAGTATCTCTTTTACACAGAGATTACATCTAAGATTCACACAAGACACTTGTTACAATGTCTAGGCCTAGATGGGGCTACTAAGCTTGGGATAGTTGTTAGTCCTAGCAAGTTTGATTGAAGTGTTTCTGACAACTGCTATGTATGCCGTGTTAGTTTTGTATATAGATCAATATGACTGTAAACTTTACTGTAATTGCACTAAGACATGTCTGATGTAGCACAAACTACTTCAAAACCTAGAAAGGAAATAGGCACCAGAGTACGGAGCATAGTCTACCATTGAAGTCGTCATTATTGGTGCATTGTAATTTCCCAAGTTCCAATAGTCTCATTTATCTAATGTGCATATAATCAAGAACTTCATGCAGGATTATCCTGCACTATCACTCATCATACACTTGCTTAATCATACACCAGGAATCAGTGCTATGGAGTTATATTTGGTCCTAAATAAAAAGTTTCAAATATATTCTTGTGAGTCATTAAGAAGCATTTGCTATATTCATTAGGAATGTAGATTGTAAATGTTATGTCACTGTTATTTCTAAATGCCTTGTTTATAAGTTCTTTGGCTTTTGGCAGTTCCTTTTAAACAAAACACTAAAACCATCTTGTGTTTCATGCATGCAAAAGTGTGTAATCCTCATACGTTTCACCATAATGAATAATAAACACTTAATAACTATCAATCATTGTAATGGATCCATCACTGAGTTGAGTATATTAAGTGATGAGAACTACTGTAGGTGACTTGACCTGTGTCCATATGTAAATAGTACGGTATGTTAAATACAGAATACAACAAGCAGAGACAATTACAGATTTATTTCCGATGCATGAAGAACATGGAGAAAGTAGCATTTAATTGTAAATGGAAAGTTTTATCCATGACAATGTTGAGATGTCAAGGTAGCACATAATACAGATATCATTGTGAAACTTACCAAACATTCAGCAACAGAGAAGGTCCCTTCAACAAGAATATTGAAGCATACACCAAACTTACATTCATATACTCATGTATTTATATAGATTAACCCACATGGAAGTTTGCATTTTAATCCACTGGTCCGAAGCCAGAGTTTTGTAATTTTTTGTTATCTAGTGGACTCAGCTAATAATAGTCCATTTTATCCATATGGATCCAGTAAAGTCCACTGAAATTGATGGGAAGAGCCAAGTTAGGGCAAAGTAACAAATGTCTTTGGCATAGAATGGTTGATACCATAGATACCTTATTAATCTACTGTAAAACATATTTGAATACCTACATCTCTAAGAAGTCAATTTTCACACCATACCTCAATACTACATATTTCAAATTAAATAAAAATTGTCTTGTCCTTATTTACAAATATTCATGGAACATTGCTGTGGGTGGTATCACCTACAACACTATAACAATGTTTAAGCAAAGAAATGGAAAATATTGCTCTTAAATGCTAGATTCATAAGAGGTGTTAATGTTCAATGTTTCCACAAACACACAACAGACACTATTCACATACACCTCCTACCTGAACCAATCAGAAATACACTTATGAAGGTTAATAAGAAGGGTTGTGTTTCTCTTTATATTAGTGGCATAGATTAGCCTGAAACTATCACTTGCCTGAATAGCAGAACCTATGATGACACCCCAAACATACATGATGCACTACTGTCCCACAGGATACCTTCCTGAAGAAAGAAGGTAGGGATGTGCCAAATACATAAAACACATATGTAAATGAATGAAATACACTGTGTCTCATTAATGCTACATTAGACTTCTTTTTTACATTTTTTATACATATGAAATGGTAAACAATATCAGCGTTAGAAATTGGCACTAGTCCTGTAGTCCTTACCAAACTGCCCAATAGTAAAGGTATCCTAAGGAGTAAGGACTAGTAGAAATTGGCCGGTTTTAAGGGTTTTGCTATATGTTATCATTATAAGGACTAGTGGAAAAAAACTGTTAGTTTCTAACCCTGCAATATGGGTCTTTATTGTTGTAATGACCTTATTTGTGATTAAGTTAAATCTTTTCAGTCAGAAACAAATGATGGTAGTTGTGATTAAGTCAGAGGGGTGCATATTCATGGCAGTGAAATGTGGAGAGGGGATTGTTGAATCGATGTATAGTCATTGTTACACTGGACATTTAGTAACAGTCACTAGCATAAGAAATCTACTAAGTCAATCTTGCTTTCACCAACAGAAAAATAACATGAATTATGAAGAAATCTTCTGAAGGCCCTTGAACATAAATGAAAAACTGCTGCAACATTAGACAGGTGATGATATATTGCAGAGTGGGCAACAGAGGTATAACATTGTAAGACCACTGTCTCAACTCTGTCACAAACAGAATGAATAATGCAGGGATGACAAAGTTTAGAAACAAGTATTTTAACTCCATACTAATGTGCACAACAATCATGAAGGACATATGACACTCGGAAGACAAAGATCACTCACACCAAGCAGGAAGTAGTCACACAAGATATAACCTAAAGTACTCATGGAAATGAAAAAAACCCTGTTTTGCTGGATTTAATAATCGACACAAGCATTACGTAGATGTAAATACCAAATAACAAAACAACTGGAAAAGTACTAGTCTGGATTTGCTAGTTTTATCTCAGTGCTCAATACAAAATGTACTTTACAGGAGGTAATTTGTAGGCACTTTCAACATTCAAAAATAAAACTAAGTCCAAATTGACATGGCAGAAACAGGCTATAGGCATTATGCAAATTAGCCTTGAAAAAAAGTTATCAAAACAACAATATAAATAACAGCTATGTTTATGTACATAATAATAATGACATGTAAATTGTTGATTGAGAAGGGAATATAATACTTTTACGTTCTGATATTTTGACGATGATTCACTATCCCACAATGCAACTCACAAATCACTAACCACTGACAAATCACATGCACGTGGGTTTCAAAGCACCTGTTTTCACCTGTCGTCAAGGTGTCATAGGTCATGGACATTCACCTTGATCTACAAACACCTGGTTATGCTCAGTTTCACAATAGTCTGTTTTGGTCATATTTGTACACACTTTTGATACATTGTATTTGTGCCAAGGCCCAATTAGTACTAATTGAGTTGTTTGAATATTTATATATTTTGTATATTAACTGCATTTATTTAAAATCTGAGATTGAAAAAACAGGGTTTTTTTCATTTCCGTGAGTACTTTAGTCCTGAACCAATAACCCCAGAAAAAAATAAATTACATTTGCTCAAGCAAACATCTTTAATATCAATTCAACAGCATTAGAACATGTACAATGATTGTCATATTAAACCGGCTCTAGATTATGCCTAAAAAGTCATGAAATGTGTAAGAAAAAACATCTTTCACCTCATGTTGCAGAGACTTGCAAAAAGGCAATACACCCAAGACAGATACATGCAGTGGACTGAGACTGCAGTAAGCACTGCAAGAACCCTTGTACACCAGGGCTGCAATGGTACAAAGTTACAATATGCTTTCACAACATCTCACCACACAGCACTGGTCTTGGTAGCCTTAGAAGCATCCCTCATGCAGCTGGTAATTAATGAAAGCTTACAATGAGCCTGGCTGCAAGAAGTCACATGGAGTGTTAACAACTAAGGGGACCCTTTAGGTCGTCTCGTATTATATAGTATATGAATCTTGGGACCCCCTAAATCTTTGAAATGTGATCATAAGAGAAATGACATCCTATGCTTAATTTTCATTCTGCATGCAGCTGTCAAGTTTTACGTCAATATGTGACTGAGTCAAATAGAAGGTAAGGAATGTCACAGTGATGTTAAAATATCAATATATCAGCCATATCTATATCTTTCAAATAACAACCAACTCCTACATGTACTTCAAAACCAACTGGCAATGAACCATATCAATGAGTGGATATTGCTTTGTGCCACATCAACAATTTTAAAGCTAAATACATAATAGTATTATATGATCATGATAATTTATAAATTTTATCAACATCTCATTACAGAAATTCTGCAGCCTGATGACATAATAATTGAAAAAGTACTCATATTAAATATAGATTAGCTGTAATGAAGTGTGACCATCACAAGATGATGATTGCTGGTACATGAAATCAAACTACAGTGATTGCAAACATGACATAACAAGGAAAAAGGTAACAAATATACACAGCGTATAAATCTCTGAAATCATACATTTGTCTGATATGTACATAACCAATAATAACTTTCTGTAATCAATATATCACAATCTTAGTAAATAATTAAACAGTAAAATCAAACATGGATGGAACCAGGAGAATCACAGATAATAGCCAACAAGTACAGCTGAGGACACATTTCTATCCTGGAAATAGCATTACCAATGCCTTTTTCCAAACTGAGCATAATGCATCAGCTGATCGTTGTTAAGATTGACCTTGACCTGCACTATACTTGTATGCTGACTTGAAATGGGTCATCTAATTCACTCGAAATACATGATCTGTATATGTGATCACATTGTGACCGTTTACAGACTTTTGACCATGTAGACAGAAATAACTGTCATTAATCTGACACCTTGGACATGTATTTGGATTATATGTACATCACTGTTAAAAAAGTCAAAGTCCATATGGGTGTAAGAAACTATTATGCATAAGAAGATAAGTCATTTCAAAAGTCACAATCATAGATATAACATGTCTGAGATGACACTTCAATTTGCAACGAAGGGTTAAACAGTTATTTTCATGATTTGCATAAAATCAACATTTACAAAATTGGTAATCAAATTTGATAACATGCACAACAATGTTCAATGGGTAAAAATTGTAACTTGCATTCAACTCAAGGCAACTTCCTAATGGCTGAATGTATCTTATGACTGGTTGTCAAGCAGGCCATCACACAGTAAGCAGTTATTCTATCTGTCATTTACAGAAGGAGTCAATGTAACAAATGGCATTGTGTGTTCAGAAGGAGACAATTTTAATGAAATATCTATAGTCATACGTAACAAAAATATTCAAAATATGAAAGTAAAGCTCTGAGTGCGGGGAATATAATTGCAATGTATATTTAGTTTAACACAGCATCAAGAGTTATATAGGAAGATGTACAATAATCAACATGTAAATGAGATATTTTATGAAATATTTTCTTATCAAACCAAGACACTATTGCACTCGTAGAACGGGTCAAAACTACCATTTACTGAAGATCTATGCTGGCACAAGAGGCATCTACCAACTGAATATATAATGCTCCATTATTTTACTGGCGATAAATGTTGCTCTGACTACATGATGCATGTTTTTCTAATAAAAAGCATATTCAATTCTGACATAATTGCATTATTCTGTCAAATATATACACCTGGGTAATAAGTATTCTGTCAAATATATACACCTGGGTAATAAGTATCTGCCTAAAATTATGGTTGCAAAAACAACATATTTAAAGATTTCAAAATAAAACACCTATATAAATGGTTTACAGCTTTTGTTTATATACATGTATATGAACATCTTCCCGAGGCAAGAGGTTAACTGACTATAAAAGTCCAGTTTCCACCACTAGACTGGTATTATGGAGTTACATTTTGGCTGGGCTAACGAGTCTATGCATAGTCCAATCAAAATCACACAACGAAATCGAAATCCGGTTCGTAAACTGTCGTGCTGATTTCGGCCGATTGCTGAATTTGCAAAGCATGTGGACGGCCAACTAGTTGTCAACAGATATTTTCCAAATCTTTTCATGATTTTAATCAAAGTGCTCACGTGATTTGATGCACTTTGCGATGTAAGACCCGTTTTATCACAATATAGATCTTCATTATCGATCAGATCGTCTTCTCTCAGCACCGCCATTTGGTTTGAATCAAATGCAAGTGATACATGAGATGGGATCTGATTGGTCCATAGGAGAGGTTTAGAAAGAACATAACTCATAATAACCACTGGTGGCGCTACGATCCAGCCAAGGAATTCCAGCCTAGTTCAGCAAGGGTGGGAACTGGACTTTTAAAGACAGTTAACTCTCTTGCCTCGGGAAGATGATATATTCAAAATCTGGAATAAACTTACGGAATGTTACGGGAGTATTTCTCCTTCTTTCTTAATGTATCTAGTGAGTAACAACCATAATCATAATTATAATAATGTGTTTGCATTATTACACCGAGGAATACATCTGTGTGCATCAAATGCATTCTCAGCTCCCTGAGCCTAATACAACCCAAACTGTGTGTTACACAAACAGATGAAGAGAGATGTTCCTTGACATATGAGATGAGTAACATATAAGTTCTATTTCCCAATCAAACAAGGCCAGAGACTGCAATCTGGGTCCACTTGCACAAAACGATCTTAGCGCTACAATTATTGCAAATCCTTAAGATTGCGATCTTGCACTAAGCGATTGTAGGCTAAGATCATTGTAAGTTACAATCGAAACTTACAATTGGTCCGGACCAATCTTAAGTCCTTACAATCATCCAAGATGGCGTCTTCGGTGCTATTTTGCGAAGAATATGACAGTTTTATTAGGAGAGAACGGGTTTTTAGAGATAGAACCATGCAACTCGAAATTCTAGGTGACGACGAGCTGTATGCGCGATACAGAATGCCTCATTCGTCCTTGTTCCAGTCATGAAAACTACTGCACAAAGAACTGTAGAAATACGATCCAGCTAATTAATGTTGTACATAAATGTTTCAGTTTCCATTAGTATATATACAGTATTTCAAATTGGTACATTGTTCTTACTTCTCGGCGGTGTTTTCCCACAGGTCCGCCTTTCGTTTATTCGTCACGATCGGGGAAAATGGGGCGAACAAGACATCGTTATTGGCTGACACTTCGTCTGTGAGCACAGTTAGCTCTTGCTTGGAGAAACTGGTTCTTGTTCTCTTTTCTGTTGACATTCTGACTGACAGGTTTACAACAATGTATCGTCTGACTGCTGCTGCAAGGGAGATAACTCTACACCGTAGCCAATGACGCGTGACCAAGGTTTTTTTACCTCCACCGCTGAAGAGTTTGATCTTAGTTAAGATCGCGATCTTAATCCAAGCCGCCTTACAATCGTGCTAAGATCGGTTTGTGCAAGTGGAATAGGACAATTGCATGGTGATTGTAAAGTTGATTGTAGCCGGCTAAGATCGATTGTAACTCAGATTGTTCTGTGCAAGTGGGCCCTGGTCTTCAATGTTCAGTAGTGTAACCAGGTATATATATAATTATATAAACCATATTGGTCTTGTCGAACACTACATTCTCAGCTATCAAACCAACAGGCTTTGAATACCATCCTGAAGATAACAAAACAAAAATAAAATGCAAAGTATTTCAAGTCTGTAACTACATTTACCAGATGATCACAGTTGATAACAAGCAAGGAGGGAAATCCACTGAAAGAAGTGGCCATTATAGGTGTACATGATTACATATCACAGAGAGAAGAGATTGCAAACAAAATAAATTGTATATAACAACATTAACAAATGATGTATTCAGTTGCAAACACATTTACATAAAATATATATCAACAGTAACAATGTTAATAATCAACAATTTCAGAATATACATACGATGAAGGTTGTATGCTTGTCTATTAACCCTTATGCTGCTGTGCATATTCAAGCCTCAATACCCTCTTCTGCTGACATAATTTGAAGAGCATCATGAAGTGAAGTACAACAATTACTCTTAATGAGTTTTATGTTAAGTTTTATCAAATAGTTCTGAAATTCCTCATTTGTGAGATGCTCCTGTGTACACCTGTATAATTGTAATGTTTGTAAAACCTATCTGAACTTTACAAATTTGAATTGTATCTGCAAAATGTACCTATTTTCACAATTTTGTGCACTTCTTCCTTTTGCAACCATCCCTAAAAAGTGTCATAGGTTATCTTCTAAATTATCGGTCCATTCTTCCTAAAACTTTTGTAAGAGGCGACTAACGGGATTGGGTGGTCATCCTCGCTGACTTGGTTGATGCATGTCATCGATCCCAAAAGCGTGGATCGATGCTCATGATATCAATCACTGGATTGTCTGGTCCAGACTCGATTATTTACAGACTGACGTCATGTAGCTGGAATATTGCCAAGTACGGGGTTAAACAACAAACCAAACCAAAAGCTTTTAAAACAAATTACAGAATGTCCATGGTTAGTATTCTTAAAAAGTACACATTTTTAATATGCATTTATCTATTCAATAAAAGCCCATTTCTGGTGTCCCCCGCCGTGATATTGCTGGAATATTGCCAAAACGGGCGTAAAACCATACTCACTCACTCACTCACTATTCAATAAACAAATATAAGTACGACCAAAAATATTGTGTTTATCGGGCTTTGTCTTTTGGACAAGAGATCTTCAAAAATACCAGAAAACTGACAAAACGGTGTGTCAATTAAAAACAAAAATATGCATCAAATGAACCTTATTATATCTATAACAAAAATGTATCAAAATAAGTTATTATACTGGATTAACTTTTTCTAAGATAGATTAAATAACATAGATTTTAGAAACCCTAACTCTCCAAATATAGAAATGAGGCACCCTTGTTATCTTCCATACTAAGTCCACACTGTACTATAGAGATATGTATGGACACTCACAGCCTTAACAGTTTTTAATAAAAGTATAATTATTAGTAGTCAACTGTTAATTTTAACCGCACATTGACAAAACATTAATACACATTTAAATATTTCCCTCAATTTCTAACATGCAGCAACATTCCATTGATGACATCATGCAACAAGGTTACAATGCATTTACACTTGCCGATGCAACTTAATTCCTCTTTTGCTATGGCATATTACTCAGCTTCATTGCTTCACATAGGCAATAGAATGAATGATATGTTTTGAAGGACTCCCGATACATAACAGTTTATTTTGCGCAGTGAACACAAAACAGTAGACAACCGACCTGGGGAGGGGAAGGTTGGTGGTCAGAGTTGACTATGCAATATCCACACTTTGATTGTAATTACTTTCAGACACAGTCTTACACTGTCATATGTAGTAATGAAGTATCGCATCACATCACATCCGCAATAATATGGTATGAAAATGAACTGTAATATTCTATTATTTACTGTTGCATCATTGTTAGTCAACAGAGTCAAAACACTGAATATGTTTTGATTCAGCTTGAAAAGTCATTCCTTTTTATGGTAGCTAGTATATGACAAGTGTTGTCATGAAACAGACTAGACGTACAGCTTCCTTGTATCTAAACATAAGCAAAATATCATGACAGATCATTTGTTTCCTAACAGACTCCAGAAGGAATTATGAGTATGTGTATAAAAATATTTCATAAACCAAACAGACAGGTATGTTATTATGCATCTATGAGATCATATTACTAGCAATCAATCTTTTTGTCTTTCACATAACCTGCAATACATTTTTATATCTTTCATATTACAGGCAATACATTTTATATCTTTCAAATTTAGCTGCAATACATCTTATATCTTTCATATTACCTGCAATCCATTTTTGTATCTTTCATATTACCTGCAATACATCTAATATCTTTCATATTACCTGCAATACATCTTATATCTTTCATATTACCTGCAATACATTTTTGTAACTTTCATATTACCTGCAATACATCTAATATCTTTCATATCACCTGCAATACACCTTATATCTTTCATATTACCTGCAATACATCTTATATCTTTCATATTACCTGCAATACATCTTATATCTTTCATATTACCTGCAATACATTTTTGTAACTTTCATATTACCTGCAAATCATCTAATATCTTTCATATTACCTGCAATACATCTTATATCGTTCATATTACCTGCAATACATCTAATATCTATCAAGATAACCCTTGTGTATAATGTTCTGCACCAATGGAGATCACTGTGAACGAGGCAGCTGTATGAACCAATATTCGGTGGGATCAGATTTGACTTAATGCTGTGGAGATTGTATGTGTACCATCATCATGATATGGTTCCAAATTTGGCAAACCATTTCAGGAAATATAAATCTCCTCCAAAATCAGACATCTATATAAATGTGGTTTGTAAATGTACTGTAAACAAAATGAATTATAAAGGGCAGTTTGGCCACATATTCAACTAATACTTCAGATCAAAGATTATATAATTCAGATCTTCAGTAGGACCGTCATGAAACAATCATTTTTCACATATATATTGCATATAAAATATATCATTATCAAATCAAGAGATATGCAAAGATTCCCCAATAAAGAAAGTTAAACATACATGTATATCTATGAAATCGTAACACAGAGAGAGGTTTCATATCAGAGTAAAAGGTCTGATTTTAATGAGATAGATTGTTAAGTATTTGGCCTAAAATTAATTACAGACATCAAAAATCTGTTACAATATGTGGTGAAGATAAGATTTGTGGCCTCAATTGGAATTCATCAACTTGATGAGAAGACCCTATCAGGATCTGCAGACACAACACAACATAGAGGACCAACTCAAAGTTGAAAGATCAGTTCAGGTCTCAAAAAAGTGACCAGTATCTTGAATCAACAAGGTCCAAATATACAGCCAGGTATTACAGTAAGTTGAAACAACAGTCACACATTATAACAACAGTCCCTGAAGAGGTCAGATAAAGCTTTGACACAGATCGACTAAGGAATATATCATCCACAAGAACAAGGTGAGCCATTTTGTATTGCATATAAATAACATTGCAAGAAATGTGTCTCTATTTCATAATGCTTAGTGGCCAGTCAGAAACGACTGCCATTTACTTTTCAGTGTATGGGAAAATTATTTCTATACATTAAACATAATAAAGATTCTTTGTTTTCATAGCTGTTTAGCTGCTCAAAAACATTTTTATTTTGTACATGTAAATAATTTGCACAGCTGTCTTTGTAAACTTTGGAAGATACTATCTCCTTCAACTGTATTCAGCAATCCTCTGACAGTTGTGATCTATTGAAGAACTTCAAGCCGTGGCTTTACACTGCATTGTAAATTAACTGGCAATTAATTCCTCAATTATAGAAGCATGAACAAGACAAGGGACTTCCTTGGTATTCACACTGGAATGTTTTCTGAAGACAGGAATGAATGTATAACCATTAAATATTGCGTCTAAGATACATAGACATGATCATACACGTTCCAACAAGAGGCAGCAGTAGAATCACATCACAGAAGCCATAGTTACCTGAAAATACCACACTCTTCAACACCTACAGAAACATACAGTTGGCACAACTTAGAACAGACATGACAAACCTGATCACAAGATTGTACAACTCTTGGATTTTGCCTCATCCCCATTTCCTGACCGTTTTGAATTTCTTCGTTTAACCTTTTCCCTCGCGTTTCCCTGTGTGATGATAGGATCAAAGCCTCTTTCTTGTGGTGCCGGGAGAAAATTGGGGGGAGGCGGAGCTTGATTTGAAACTGAAGCAGGCTGAACGACTGGAGTTGTCTCCTCCTTCCCTGGCTCTACATACTTCTCAGTGGGCATGTCCTCTGGGATGTCCGGGAGAGGTTTGAACAGTTGGTCTTTGATGTCAAGGTCATCCAGGTCCCCACCGTCTGCTTGTACTGAGTTTTCAAGGTCAATCAGTTGCTTGGCCTCCTTGACAAGAATGTCAACTGCCTGCTTTGTGAAAGGGTGTGACTGGATGATGGAGGCGGAAAAGTCAAGCTGAACATGATTTACTGAAACGAAAGTCAAGACATAGTCAATCTTAAATTTCACAGCAGGCTTCTGAGGATTGACACTTGAAAGCCAGGCCAATTAAACTACGGTACTCATGTCATGTTTCATGATTGTTTCATGTCTAGATACAGGTGGATAAAATGCACATGGCAATTGATTCACTGCATCTCAGTAATCCCTGACATGGTTGCTAGTTCCATATCTCTTTCCAAAGTGTTCCCCAGTATTCTTTTTGAGATGTCATTTCAAGAAATCACAATGCAAACACATAGTTTCTGTACATGTTCTATGCATAGTCCATAGGACATGAATTGCGCACCGCTTAACAGCGCAACTCGTGTTATGGTCATGGCAGCAATAGAAGTTTGTGTTCTTGTTTTGCCGTTTGTAAATTTGGTCAATGAAAACAATAAACTTATGATAAAGCATCACTAGACATGATGATTTACAAATTCAATGGTATTTGTGTACTGTATGCCAGACAATATTTCATACGTAGAGATTAAGATTACATGTGTATTTGTCTCATAAAACAAGCTGGAAAAAGCAATCAGTTCTTCACACATTTTCTCCCCAATCTATGGGTGATTTAGTTAAAGAAATACTTTATGTCATGGCTGATATCATAACTGAAGAGAAATTTCAATACAGTGATAGGAAGACAGTATCTCTAAAGACTAATATTTGTTTCCAGGTGAGTTCATGTTATTTGCCAATCAGTTCAAAAATGATTTCACCATAATTAATGTAAACAAAATTGAATTAAATCTTGGATAAATGTGTATTACAAACGTAAGTCCAGGTACACATGGAACACTTTCATAGTCAGATAGTGTAATAACAGGACAAACTTGCATACTTCAGTATGGATTTGTTGACATCCTTCTTCCTGTGTTGTGTGCTCACGATAACATCTTCACATTGTGAAATATAATCAAAGCTCATTGTATGTGTGTATTATGCACACACTGGTAGTCCAATGGTAGTCAAATGCTGTATTCCAGTATTTCAATGAAGGAATACATTTATGTAGGGAGGCCCTTATCCAGGCTGATTGACCACAACTGTTTCTATGGTTACGTACTAGTAACGGGAACTCCCCCCCTCCCCGAAAAAGGCTGCACCCCTGCACCACATTTCCAAAAGCCATTGCCTGAGAACCAATTATTATATTTCTTTAAGCTTGAAAATTACTGACCACCAGGGGGCAGGATGACCAGGGGATAGAAGCCCCCCGGGGGCTGGTAGATGACACGGGTCAGGACCATGTTCCTGTTGACGGTCAAGTAGCAGATGACCAGTTGCTCCTCATGATCCTCCAGGGTATTGTCCAGATACAACAGTCCCCAGCCCACCAAGTCCCCCTTCTGTACCACGTCCCTGGCTGGAATACAACATGATACTGCATTAATACAACAGTCCCCAGCCCATCAGGTCCCCCTTCTGTACCTTGTCCCTGGCTGGAATACAACATGATACTGCATCAATACAACAGTCCCCAGCCCACTAAGTCCCCCTTCTGTACCACGTCCCTGGCTGGAGTACAACATGATACTGTATCAATACAACATGATACTGCATCAATACCACAGTCCCCAGCACACTAAGTCCCCCTTCTGTACCACATCCCTGGCTGGAATACAACATGATACTGTATCAATACCTCAGTCCACACCAAGTCCCCCTTCTGTACCACGTCCCTGGCTGGAATACAGCATGATACTGCATCAATACCTCAGTCCACACTAAGTCCCCCTTCTGTACCACATCCCTGGCTGGAATACAACATGATACTGCATCAATACCTCAGTCCACACCAAGTCCCCCTTCTGTACCACGTCCCTGGCTGGAATACAGCATGATACTGCATCAATACCTCAGTCCACACTAAGTCCCCCTTCTGTACCACGTCCCTGGCTGGAATACAGCATGATACTGCATCAATACCTCAGTCCACAGCAAGTCCCCCTTCTGTACCACGTCCCTGGCTGGAATACAGCATGATACTGCATCAATACCTCAGTCCACACTAAGTCCCCCTTCTGTACCACATCCCTGGCTGGAATACAACATGATACTGCATCAATACCTCAGTCCACACTAAGTCCCCCTTCTGCACCACATCCCTGGCTGGAATACAACATGATACTGCATCAATACATTAGTCCACACTAAGTCCCCCTTCTGTACCATGTCCCTGGCTGGAATACAGCATGATACTGCATCAATACAACAGTCCCCAGCACACTAAGTCCCCCTTCTGTACCACGTCCCTGGCTGGAATACAGCATAATACTGCATCAATACAACAGTCCCGAGCCCACTAAGTCCCCCTTCTGTACCACATCCCTGGCTGGAGTACAACATGATACTGCATCAATACAACATGATACTGCATCAATACAACAGTCCCGAGCACACTAAGTCCCCCTTCTGTACCACGTCCCTGGCTGGAATACAGCATGATACTGCATCAATACAACAGTCCCCAGCACACTAAGTCCCCCTTCTGTACCACATCCCTGGCTGGAATACAACATGATACTGTATCAATACCTCAGTCCACACCAAGTCCCCCTTCTGTACCACGTCCCTGGCTGGAATACAACATGATACTGCATCAATACAACATGATACTGCATTAATACAACAGTCCCCAGCCCACCAGGTCCCCCTTCTGTACCACGTCCCTGGCTGGAATACAACATGATACCGAATTAATACAACAGTCCCCAGCCCACCAGGTCCCCCTTCTGTACCACGTCCCTGGCTGGAATACAACATGTTACTGTATTAATACAACAGTCCCCAGCCCACCAGGTCCCCCTTCTGTACCACATCCCTGGCTGGAGTACAACATGATACTGTATCAATACAACATGATACTGAATTAATACAACAGTCCCCAGCCCACTAAGTCCCCCTTCTGTACCACGTCCCTGGCTGGAATACAGCATGATACTGCATCAATACCACAGTCCCCAGCCCACTAAGTCCCCCTTCTGTACCACATCCCTGGCTGGAATACAACATGATGATGCATCAATACAACATGATACTGCATTAATACAACATGATACTGCATTAATACAACAGTCCCCGGCCCACCAGGTCCCTCTTCTGTACCATGTCCCTGGCTGTTATACATGATACTGTATCAATACCACAGTCCCCAGCTCAGCAGGTCCCCCTTCTGTACCACCTCCCTGGCTAGAATACAACATGATACTGTATCAATACAACAGTCCCCATCCAACAAAGGTCGCCTTTCTGTACCCTTTCTGTCTGGAATACAACATGATATTATATTAACACATCCTTGTCTGGAATACAACATCATACTGTATCAATACATCCTTGGCTGGAATACAACATCATACTGTATCAATACAAGAGCCATACCTTCTCCTGTGGCCCAGAAGCGGAGGAAGTCCTGCTTGAAGTTGGACTGTGGCGGGGGATCGAAGGGACTCGCTGTTGACAAGGCCAGAGCTGGAGGAGGGGAGTCGTCGTCAAATTTGTCAATAATCTTGATTTCAAAATGATTGTACCCTGCAATAAATGGATGGAAGAGCTGTGTGATCATCTACACATAGGTCTGTTGTCATGCATATCATCATTGATGCATCATTGATTTCTCTTTTAAGAATATTGTAACAAAACAGCTTGTGTTCCATCTCACACTTGTAAACAAACTTGTGCAAACAGATCCATCAAAGGCTTACTCATTTCCACGTTTCACAAATCTACCTCACAACGACAACTGTCAGAACTCCTAGTCCATAGTGTTGTTGCTAAACATGACAAAACTGTTTTGTAAAACTTGGCTCACATCCATTCTACAAGCAAACAATCTCTGTATGTCACTTCTCCACCCTACCTCTATTGAGACTGTATGGAGCTTGGAGTGCAACCGGAGATATGTGATCCCGGACGTTCACCCGACAGGTAGCCTGGTCCACTTTGGAGCCGCTCGGCAAACACCAGTGGTCAGCATTGGTCTGGAACAAGATGAGATGGATGATGGTCTTCAACACCAGGAGAACTGCATGGCCTACTGTCTAACAAATCAGCTGAAAACACTAAAAACACTGACATGCAGATCCATGTATGCTCACACTGAGAGAGTTACGTCACTTGACTGCCACCCTACACATTAGAGATAGACTAAGCAACAAGTCTCTGTAACCTACCTCTGTAATACTCACAGAGCTCTCATAATACAAACAAGTATATGCCCACAAAAAGGTTAAGGAGTGCATCTGCATCATTCAGCAACTTCAGCCACTGGTCCAAAGCCAGAGTCTAGTAAAACTATGTTTGGTTTAGTAAGCTCAGTTAACAATAGTCCATTTGACAACACTAACTCTACTGAAAAAGATGCTTAGAACTAGGGCTAGGACGGGTAACTTGGGTACTCGGGTCGGATGGGTACTGAGTAGGACCCGGGTACCCACAGGACTACCCAGACCCGTGGTTAGTAACATGATATATTGTTTAATGACAAAAATTATCTAAAACTCTATGGTTACACTACAAGTCACTAATGTTCCCATTTCTTTCTGTCTATGCACCCATTCCTTCTGACTTCTATATGTTTGAATCAAGATAAAACGTCATGCAGTAAACATCAGTGTATGCATGACCAGATCGTTTTATACATGTATCTAAATACATTTTGCGAGAGCAAACTTTTCCCAATCGGACTGTTTGTTCCTATCTCTTGAGACCTCCAGCGGGTACCCGGGTGGGGCCTGGTAATAGTGGGGTGGGTACCCAGGTAGGGTCAGGTAATAGGGGGTGGGTACCTGGGTAGGGTCGGGTAATAGTGGGGTGGGTACCCAGGTAGTGTCGGGTAATAGTGGGGTGGGTACCCAGGTAGGGTCAGGTAAAAGGGGGTGGGTACCCGGGTAGTAAATTTGGACTCATCCCAGCCCTACTTGTTTGGGCTAGTGCACTGAAACATGTTTGGCACAAACTGTATATATACTTACTCACAGTCATAAGATAGCTATACAATGAGTAATTCACAATATTAAAAACAAGATTAGAGACCTCACAGAAAGGATTAGAATTGACACATACAATTAGAATGATTACATACCACACCGAAGCTGGTGTTGGACAGGATCTGTGTCTGCCAGTAGACATGTATCTCCACGTCATAGCCGTTGCCGCACACAGCGATGGTGGGAAGGTGCTCCGACGTCTCCCCCTCCGTGTAGTAGCGGGTGCCGATGGCACGGGAATTCTTACTGAACAGACACACAGACATCTCCTTGGCAAAAGATGATATTTCCATTGAAACAGTGTCTCCTGAAATAAAACAGTGTGAATCACATGCTAAAACTTGGCTGCAAATGTCTAAAAAAGTAATACATAATTTTTTCTGAAACTGAAATTTATCAGCAGAACATTGAAATTATTATGATGGGATCCAACATGGCAGACTATCAAACATAAGATAATGTTAACACATAAACAAAATTGGGCTTCCAACATTACGGAAGACTTTATCTTGGGGATTGTTTAACAGATCTGCTATTTTTAAACCTTACCACCTACCTTCACAGAACCTCTCCCCCGGCATGTTGCCCTGGTTCTTCTCATTTGCATACAGTCGTCCATCCCGCGACACCCAGCCCACAGATTCCGCACACTTCCCAGGCAGTTTCTTCAGAGGGAAACTAGACCCCGCCACACCGAAGGATACAACTGAGTCCTCATCTGAAAACAGTCAGCTCACCCTCAAACTAAAGAATAAGTGTCCTCTTTCTCAATATGTCATCCATCAACAAAAATAGTTGCTGATAAAATCAGACACAGACTAGACTTACTGAGTCTACTGTTAATATACAACTATATGTCAGAGATATGTCGGCGTCTCTTAAATTTTTACAAACCTGTAGAGGTTATGAATTCTCTGATGAAATCCTCCTTGGGGCACTTATTGCATTTTCCTTGCTCAAGAAAATCTATATGACATAGTTGTAACCATTTTCCTTAATAAAAAATGTTACCACACAAAAAACTTCGTTTTTGTATGATATACGACCACCCTTACGGGGCCTCACCCCCAACGGCGCCTCACGCCAGGGGGAGCAACTCTCACCCAAATCACTTTCCATATGTCAAATGCTGACGGAATGTGGGGAGGTGGGTGGCCGTGCCCCAAGGAGGATTTCATCAGAGAATTCATAACCTCTACAGGTTTGTAAAATTCTCTTTCTGATTAAATCCTCCTTGGGGCACTTATTGCATCAAGACAGACTCCCAAAGATAATCTAGGAAGTGGCATCCGTCAGCAACAGGCGTAAATAAATACATCGTATTTGATTATTCAACAGAATAAAATATTGAGTTCAATAAATGGAACCAACCTTATCGTGAGGCACCACCGTCGAAAGGCGGGGGCTAGAGACAGGGCGTGGTCGACCATATATTATGATAAAGCCTGTTTTTGCGGCTTGTCATAAGTTGAGAACTCGAAACACCTCCCACCCCCCCCCACACTTTTTTGAACAAGTGATATAAGGGCGTAGATCACGAGAGACCATAACCAGCGCTGAGCTAGGCCAGAGGGTCCCCGAGGATCGAAGGAGTGCGTGCGCAAAATACGAGTATTATCGAGTAGTAAGGACTGATATTTATCGACCGCAGAAGATAAAATCCGGACCATTACTGAGCAGTATAACCGGAAGACTGTCTAAAATCTCGAATGCTCAATCAGCTAGAGATTAGAACTTTGCCCAGTTCGGAGAACTGACTGACCAAACCGAGTACGCTCGCTTGAGTGTTTGTCGAGTTGGTAAGGTTTGATGAATCGTGCTCGGCTGGCTCCAAATAGCCGCGGAGCAGATCTGCTCAATGGGCAGAGCCGCGGCGTACGCTTTTGACGCAGCCACTGCTCTAACCTAATGAGCCTTCAACCTGGTAGGGGGGTCCCTGCCTGTAAGCGTATACGCTGTACAAATGTTTGAAACTATCCACCTCGAGATAGATTGTTTACTCGCAGGTGAGCCAACCTTCCTACCGCAGTAACAGCAAAATAGTTGGTTATCCTTACGGACACCCATATTTCTGCTGATATAGGCCTTGAGAGTCGTGCGGACATCCAAGACATGAGCATGTCTTGCAGTGGTCCCCGACGAGGAAGGCTGTGAAAGAGCGGGTAGCTCAATAGGAGCCGTTCACGTGGAATCGTGTGCGACCCTAGGACGGTAATAGTCCGGTAGACGAAAACTGACTGTCCCGGTGATATTTATCGACCCCATGGAAGACAGTTATTTTGGGATCGGCTGACATAACACGAATGTCGCCTACCCGTCTGCCGGACGTTACCACCACAAGGAACGCCGTCTCCCAGCTCAACAGCTGAAGAGAGAGAGACGACAGATCCCGAAAGGAAGGACCGGACAGCCAATCTAGAATGATTGACAAGTCCCAAGGGGGACTGATCCGCCGGACTGGCGGTCGGATCCTGTCCACACCTGCTAAAAAGCGCTGCACTAATGGGTGTGCACCCAGAAGTGCCCCGTCGACAGGGACGTGAAAAGCTGCGATAGCTGTAGAGTACCCTCGGACTGTTGATGCGGCCAGGCCGTCATCTAGTCGCGACTGGAGAAACTCAAGCACGGATACGAGATCTGCAGAAAAAAGATCTGCAATCCCTCTATCGACACACCTGGGCGCATAGCAGGCCTATCTATCGTACTGAACGTTTGTCGAATCCCTCCGCGAAGCCAGTATTGTGTCTGCAACTCGTGCAGGAATACCGCTCTTCTGGAGGCGATTCCTGACAGTGGCCAAGCCACCCATTGAATCCTGAGATTCGGGTGGAGGGCCCCGTTCTGGGATAGGAGGTCCGGACGTAAAGGTAATATAACAGGAGGCTGAGCCAGAAACCTGAGTATTACTGGAAACCCACTCTGCGCCGACTAAAGAGGTGCCAGGAGCACAATTAGTCGCGCAGGCTGAGTGCCTAGCTGAGACAGGACCTTGGAAATCAGAGGTACTGGGGAGAATGCCCACAGAACTGTCCGTCCAATCTAGCTGAAAGGCGTCCGGTGCCACCGACCTCGGGTCGTGGACTCGGGAGCAGAACGTTGGTGTCTGGTTATTTAACCCAGACGCAAACAGATCCACCTGTAACGACCTGTATAACAGGGAGAAAATCCCGAATATCCCCGGGTCGAGCCTCCACTCGTGAGGAGCGAGGATCCGGCAAGACAGAGCGTCCGCACGGACGTTGTCCACCCCCGGGAGATAAACAGGTAGCACCCTGATATCGTGAGAGTCGCACTATAGTAGGAACTGCCACGTCTTTCGTCGAAGCGACGGAGACGCCGTTCCCCCCTGCTTCCGGATGTAAGTCATCGCCGTTTGGTTGTCCATCTCTAGACGAACCACTTGGCCACGAAGCAGATCCGGGAAGCGTTGGAACACCAACCTGACCGCTCTCAGTTCTAGCACATTGATATGCAGTTTGATCTCCTGCTGGGACCATAGTCCCGAGGCAGTGTGATCATTCAGAACGCCTCCCCAGCCGGAGAGTGACGCGCTGTTTGAACTGTGAGAGACGGAACGGGAGTGATTCCCGACCTCGGTCCACCACTGGAGGTGTGTAATGAGCCACTACGGAGTCTCGAGCACAGTCTCGAGATCTTCCGAGTTCGCCCAAAGTCGACGGAGTGCTTGTTGAATGGGACTCATTCTCAAGCGCGCCCGCCAGACCAAATCCACTGTCGCCGCCATGTTGTCCAGTAACTGGAGCCATGTACGAGCAGTGTGACTTGCGCTTAAGGGACTTGATATCTTGTGACAGAGATACACGTCCTCTCACCGTGTTGAAATTAGCCACTAGATTCTGAGTGGGGCTCAGATCTGACTTCTTGAGATTGACCATCCACCCTAGAGTGATCAGAATATCTATCACTTGTTGTGTAGCTATCTGACTCAGGGATTGCAATAGAGCTCTTAGTAACCTAGTCGTCGAGGTACGGATGGCAGAACCGACCTTTTGACCTGGCCACTTGGGCGGGAATCAACATCGGCTTGGTGAACACCCTCGGGGCCGTGGAGATCCCGAATGGTAGAACCCTGAACTGATAACACCTCCCGTCGAAAGAAAACCTCAGGTATTTCTTGAACTCTGGATGTATTGGTATGTGGAGATTGGCTAACGTCAATAGACTTAAAATACGCCTTTCTCCTGTCTCGACAGTTGAGATCACTGTTTGGTGACTAGGAAACAAGTCGAGTAGAAGCCCTCGCTTTCCTGTCCCTCGGGACCCGGTTCGATCGCAGCTTTCATAAGAAGTGCGTCGACCTCGGCACGGAGGAATTCCGCCTTCTCTCGGGTAGCAGGCACCGGTGTGTGCTTTATCCCGGAAAAGTGGAGGAGCGGATGAGTTTTCCCGATAACTTGCGACTATGGGTTCACCCGGGGCTCTTCGGGCGCTAATGGGAACCCATCGTTCCCAGCCCCGCGAAAAAGCTGTTGGCCTCGACCAGCTGCCTTGCCCCGGCCCGTGCCTCTCTTGCTCCTCACGGCGCCCTTATACCTGAAGGAAGCGGCGGCTTCCAAGCAGGTGTGGACGTCTGACCCGTGCGTTAGCGTAGGAGGGGACAATTGGAGAGGCCCGCTTACGCGGTTTTAACGCTTGGTACCTCCAACAAGGCCTTATGAGTCTTTGATGGAAGTATACAATTGAGCAGCCTCTCGGACCGCCTGCTGAGCCCCAGGGAAGAGGGTGGCACCCTCTTATACGGCAAAGCAAGTAGGTCTTGGCGTGTGTAAGTCGAGTATTTAGATACCGACATCCACCGCCTGCGCATGCACATAACAGCGCACATCATCTGCGATGCACAGCTACGAATAGCGTCCCGCGCAAGATAATGTTAGTTGCGCGGCCAACTCCGAAGAGTCGGCCGGCCCCTCTCCCGCTAACTCCCTCTGTACAGCCGACAGATACGCGGAGTGTACGGACACACGGAGCTGTTGGCATGCATTATGATATTGCTCCTCGAAGCATATGTAAGCAGCCTTCAACTCCGCACCGCACACGGGAAAGGGGGGGCAACCGCCGGCCCTGCTTGACCTTAGTCAAGTTGGGTGTCTCCGACTCTGGCATGGGCGCAGCAACCTGAGGCAGTACATGGACAATCCTGTCCCGCACGTGTCTCTGCACCCGGCCCGAGGCCGAGTCCCGGTGCCGAGGTGCCGGAGGTTCAAGGGAACCCACCTGGCACTGGGCTAGGTATCCACTAGTGAAAGCCTTGGCCTCGGAAGAGGCGTCTGGCTCCGCTAGGGTAAATTGTGCGTCGGTAGTGCACGGGCCGGTGCCCGCCACCACTACGCTGGGGAGCGACCTCGAGCCGGAGCCGAAGCTCGGTCTCGGATCGTCCCCGAGACAAAGGGAACCAACCTGGCTCCGGGCTAGGTATCCACTAGTGGACGCCTCGGCCTCGGAAGAGGCGTCTGGCTCCGCTAGGGAAAATTGTGCGTCGGTAGTGCACGGGCCGGTGCCCGCCACCACTACGCTGGGGAGCGACCTCGAGCCGGAGCCGAAGCTCGGTCTCGGATCGTCCCCGAGACAAAGGGAACCAACCTGGCTCCGGGCTAGGTATCCACTAGTGGACGCCTCGGCCTCGGAAGAGGCGTCTGGCTCCGCTAGGGAAAATTGTGCGTCGGTAGTGCACGGGCCGGTGCCCGCCACCACTACGCT